TTATTTTTAATGGTAGTTAGACACAATATCTTTTATTTTTACGTGGTGCTGAGGATCGAACCCAGGGCCTCACACATGCTAGGCGAGCGCTCTACCGCTGAGCCACAATCCCAGCCCTAGTTTCTTTCTTGATAAGACAATATTATTTGAAAGAAGTATCAGAATAAATGTTTCTCATTTGTTCTTCTCGGCCCCTTAGTACCTATATTTTTCAGCAGCCTCTGTACACTTTTGTCCCTCTCTCTGTTCCCTCCTTTTCTCTCCCCTCACACATTCTGAGAAAAACTGGCCAGAAGTCACCACCGCCCCGTGAGATAACAGTGCCACAGGCAGCAGCTCAGTGGTCACACAAATGCTGTGGCTCCAATCATCACATCATGTGAACATTCTGATTCCCATGTCCAAAAAGGACTTTTAGGCTTTGTCTTCCTTGGCTTCACTTTATAAAAGACAGCCATTTCCTCTTCCTTAAGACTTTCTTATTAGACTTGGGAAGAGTGGCACCTACACTCACCTGGTTTTCACCCTCTGCTGCCACTATGGCCCTCGAGGTCAGATCCTTCCTCCTACTCAAGTTCAGCTCTCTTTCTCAACATACCCAGCCTCACGCAACAATGTCAACCTCCCTCAGTGCTGAAACCTACAGAAACCTCCAAAAGTCCCAGATTTGCACCTCCAGCATCTCATCTCTCCCCTCACTATTTCAAATACAGAAAATAAGCAGCCAGAGAGAAGAGAAGATTGCTAATTTCCAGTACTTGAGCGTCAGGACCACAGAGCTGACCAGGGTCAAATGGGTAGAGAGCAGCTCAATGCAAGACTTGTAACAAATAGCACAAAAAGATTTGCAGACAGTGTTAAGGCCAGTAAGCAACAGCCACGTTCCTCAATTCTGAGACTGAGGCTTCTTAGCTTAGTGTTATGGTGTGGATATGAGGTGTCCCCCAAAAGCTCACATGTGAGACAATGGAAGAAGTTTCAGAGAAATGATTGAGTTATGAAAGCCTTGGCCAGTCAGTGAATTAATCACCTAATGGGATTAACTGAGTGGTAATTAAAGGCAGGTGGGGCACAGCGGGTGGAGCATGGCTTTGGGGTATATGTTTTTATCTGACAAGTGGAGATCTGCTTTCTGATCATGTGAGCTGCTTCCCTCTGCCACACTCTTCTGCCATGATGCTCAGCCTCAGTTTGAGCCCTGAGGAGTGAAGTCTGCTGCCTATGGATTGAGACCTCTGAAACCGTGAGCCCCCAAATAAACTCTTTTTTTAAATATTTATTTCTTAGTTGTAGTTGGACACCATACCTTTATTTTATTTATATGTGGTGCTGAGGATTGAACCCATGGTCTCCCAAGCGCTCTCCCACTGAGCCACAACCCCAGCCCCCAAATAAACTTTTCCTTCTCTAAAATTGCTCTGCTCAGGTCCTACAGTCACAGTAGCGAAAAAGCCAACTAAAACACTTAGTACCAGAGATTCGGATAAACAGAAGATTTTTTTCATTTTTGTTGAATATCTAAATTGTTAAGTCTTCATTATAAAAAGCTGATTAGAAATCATTGTGGTATTTCCTTTAATTCGACTGTGTGTGTGTGTGTGTGTGGGTGTGTGTGTGAGGGATTGTGCATGCTAAGCACATACTCTACCACTAAGCTATACCCCCATACCTAATTTTTTTAAATATTTTTTGGTTATACATGAACACAATATCTATTTATTTTTATATGATGCTGAGGATCGAACCCAGTGCCTCACATGTGAGAGACAAGCCACTGAGCCACAACCTCAGCCCCCCAATTCTTTTTTTTTTTTTAACTTTATGTATTTATTTCTTTAATGTGGTGCTGAGGATCGAACCCAGTGCCTCATAGGCGTGAGGCAAGTGCTCTACTCCTGAGCCACAACCCCAGCCACCCCCGCCAATTGTTTTTTAAATAACCATGATTTGTTATTTATCAAATAAATAATCTCCTTTACAAATTCATGTCTTCTCAGACATATACTAGTTTTAGAGAACAAAGTTTACTTATTTTGAATCAAAGGTTTGCAGATTAAAGTACAGCAGTAAACTCACCATTTCTGGACATCTCTCTCCTCTGCTCCTATATGTTGGTTTTCTGGGGTTTAGATTTTTGGTACCAGGGATTGAACCCAGAGGTGCTTAACCACTGAGCCACATCTCAGCCCTTTTTGAAATGGGGCCTAAATTGCAGAGGGCCTCACTAAGCTGCTGCAGCTGGTTTTAAACTTATAATCCTCATTCCTCAGCCTCCCAAGCTGCTGAGATTATAGGAGTGTACCATACACCTGATCCTATGTACTGTTTTTAAAATGGTAAATTAATAAAGAATTCTAACTAATCCTAATTTAATTAATCTAATCAAATTAGATTAATCCTAATCTAATTTGAGCACAAAGACTTTTTAAAGGTTCTTCAAAAACTGGTTCTTGCCATGTGTGGTGGCCCACACCCGCAAATCCCAAGGACTCATAAGGCTAAGGCAGGAGGTTCAAGGCTGGCCTAAGTAACTTAGTGAGACCCTGCCTCAAAAAATATTTTTAAAAAGGGTCTTGGGATATAGCTCAGTGGTAAAGCATCCCTGGGTTCAATTCCCAGTACCAAAAACTAATAACAACAAAAAACTGATTCCTTTCCATCACCAGTCTGGTATATGATCAGACAAGGCAAATATTATACCCATTACTGAAGGGAACTGAGTTTGGAACAATATTAACTGAACATTGTCATGCTTGGCCAATAAAGAGATGCTGAGAGGTGAGCCACGGTCCTGACCTCAAAGAGGGAGGCAGACCATAGACCAACCACCGAGGCAGAGTAAGGCAAGTTTCCTAATTAGTCAGAAAAGGAAGACTAGACATAGGACACATTCTGCTCTAGAATAACATTTTCTGTCTGCTTTAAATACCTGAGTGTAAAATCTATATTAAAATAATATATAAAAGCAGTGGCTGGGGGTATAGCTCAACAGAAGAGCAAGTGCTAAGCATGCACAAGACTCTAGTCAATCCCCAAAATACCCTCCAACAAAAAAAGCAGAAATATTATGTATAAGAGCAAAATTGCCTACACATTCATCACCTAATAATGAACAAAGGAAACCAATTTGATTACCTCTGAAGTTTTATCACTTGCTCATGCAATTATACATGATCTTCTCAGAGTAGTTTTAGTCTACATTGGCACTGATCATGTCATTAGTATTTTTCCACTTCCAACTCCATACTTCTTTTTCTTCATTCCTGCCTCTGTGATTAATGATGTTCTCTACATCTTTCTCTTTACATGGTGGACACCAAAACAATATTTAAATCAGATTTGAAAAATGTTTAGCTGGGTGTGGTGGCACATGCCTGTGATACCAGCAACATGGGAGGCTGAGGCAGGAGGATTCCAAGTTTGAGGCCAGCCTGAGAAAATGAGACCCTGTCTCAAAACAGAAAATAAAAGGGTCTGGGGTTGGGGTTGTGGCTCAGTGGCACAGTGCTTGCCTAGCATGCATGAGGCTCTGGGTTTGATCGCCAGCACCATATAAAAATAAAAATAAATAAATAAAGGGATTGTGTCCATCTACAACTAAAAGGAAAAAAACTTTAAATAAATAAATAAAAATAAAAGGGTCTGGTGATATAGCTCAGCGGAAGAACTCCCCTGGGTTCAATCCCCAGTACTACAAAAAAGAAAAAAAAAAAAAAAAAAAGGAAAGAAAAATAATTCAGGGTTCAGGGCCTGGGGTTGTGGCTTAGTGGCAGAGCTTGCCTTACACATGTGAGGCACTGGGTTCAATCCTCAGCACCACATAAAAAAATAAATAAGCCAAATAAAGATATTGTTTCCATCTATAACAAAAAAAAAAACTTTTTTAAGTCAAAGAATTCAAATAGTCATATGTTTAATTAACTGCTTTGATATTTACTTCAATTTTAGATCTCAAACAGATGAGAAACAATCCTAGGTGGGGTCCAGACTCCCCTGCTACGTTCTCACATATGCCAGGCCCGTGAGAACAGATTGTGTGCATCTGGGTCCCTGTTAGGCCACTCAAGACCTCTTAGGGAGGTCTTGCATCCTCAACTCTGAAATGAGATAAATTTTAAAAATTAAAAAAAAAAACTTATGTGTGTGGGGGGGGGAGGGTAACTTCATATAATTGAAAAGGCTAAAGATTAAATGGAGGGCTGGGGTTGTGGCTCAATGACAGTGCGTTTGCCTAGCATGTGTGAGGCACTGGGTTCAATCCTCAGCACCAGATGAAAATAAATAAAAATAAAGGTATTGTGTCCAACTACAACTAAAAATTAATATTAAAAAAAAAAGATTAAATAGAGGGGCTGGGGTTGTGGCTCAGTGACAGAGCGCTTGCCTAGCATGTGTGAGGCACTGGGTTTGATCCTCAGCACCACATAAAAATAAATAAAATAAAGGCCCATTGACAACTAAATAAAAAATAATTTAAAAAGAAAGATTAAATGAAAAACAAAATTTTCTGCCAATTAAGGATTATACAATTGTTGGCTTACTTAGTTTGCCATTTAGTTTCTCAGCCTACAGAAAAATCCTTATAAACTAAGTCAGTGTTCCATTTTCCCAACTAATGGGACAGAAATCAGCTGCAAAGTCACAATGTCTCTTGGATTCCAACCACTCATCAAAACTGTCAGATCTAGGGGCTGGGGTTGTGGCTCAGTGGTAGAGTACTCGCCTCGCACACACAAGGTTCTGGGTTCGATCCTCAGCACCACATAAAAATAAATAAGTGAAATAAAGGTATTGTGTCCAACTATAACTACAAAATAAATATTTTTTTTTAAGTGTCAGATCTACAGAAGCAAAACTAAAATTCTTTTTCTTCCCTAGAATAGTTTTTTTTAAGTTCCCTGATAGTCAATCCTTAAAATGTCTTTTGGGGACTTCAAATAAAGTGAGTAGGGCCTTGCTCAGAAGCACCTAATTTAAAGGAAGAAAGGAGACAAAGCGTATTGACTTTTTTCCTACCTTTATTTATAAAGAACACAAGTCCTCCTGACACAGACACGAAAACACACACATCCCAAGGAGGAGTCTTACAAACAACAACAGAAACAACAGAGCTGGGGAGAACAGTGGGACCTTATTTTATACCAGTCTGCGTACCCCAGGCTCAGGAACCACTGGGAACATTGTCTCAATTAGGACATCTCACCTCAAAGACAGGAAGAGAGATCTTGATTGAGAGGACCCACCTACCCATAAGGCAGAAAGCTCCACATTCAATCTTCGGCATCATCAAACTGTCCCGTTTCAAAGACCATCTTGGAATAGTGGGGTATCAGTGGAGGTGGATGGTGCCAACTGGGGTCATAGATTATGTCTCCTTGTGGGGCACAGCATACCCAAGGTTTGATCTCTTGAGAAATGCTCCCCTGGATGTCATCAGCATCTGCAGACAGTTTCAAAAAACAGACTTAAGGGCTGGGTTGTGGTTCAGTGGTAGAGTGCTTGCCTAGCATGTATAAGGCACTGGGTTTGATCCTCAGCACCACATACAAATAAATAAATAAAATAAAGGTACTGTGTCCATCTACAGCTAATATTTAAAAAAAAAAAAAAAAAGATTAAACACTGAGCACGATGGTGCACACTTGTAACCCCAGAAACTCAGGAGGCTGAGGCCAGCCTCAGCAACTTAGCAAGGCCCTAAGCAACTTATGAGACCCTGTCTCACAATAAAAATCAAAAATAAAAGGGATTGGGGATGTGGCTCAGTGGTTCAATCCCCAGTACCAAAAGAAAATAATCCAGACTAAAGGAAAGAGGGAGGGTAAAAACAAATTTAAAAAAAAAATGCCTAGGGGGCAGACACTTGATTTGTTTTCTACAATAACACATAAGTGCAGACAGACACACACACACTGCACCCTTCTGAATAAGTGCACCCACGGTCATTCTGAACAATCCATGGTTGTGCTTCTCAAACAAGGTTCTAAGCAGTGGAGAGGAAGCAAGGGGGTGGGTATCACAGCTGCTCAATTCATACAAAGATTTCTAGAGAGGAACTTTTTTTTCCATGTGAAAATAAAGTGCTATATTATGGAGTCCACTGAAAAATTAGGGGGGTAGTTGATATAAAAAAGCAGCTGTCACAAAAATTTCAGACCTGTAACAAATCAGAGACAGAATTCTTACACATGGACTCCTCTTTTAAACTGTTAGCACCCCAGAAACTCCACACCTACCGTAAGGATTTCCTTGATCCGCTTTCAACTCCAAGTCCCAGTCCTCATTGAAAAGATCAGCCGTCTGCTCCTTGGGCTGACAGTGTGCTCCTTCTGACAGCTCCCAGGTATTCAGTTCCCCATCAGACTCCTCCTCTTCCACAGCAAAGCCTTCCTCTTCAGAATGTGTGCCTTCACCATGGGTAGGAATGTCATTAGGGATGCTCTGTGCTCCACTGGCTAAGAAATCCACAAAAGGAAAGTCTTAAAATTGACAAACCAGAGAAGACCTGCTCGTGAGCTTGAAAAATGTTTGGCAGACTTACTAAGAGGGTAGTAAAACAAGGGTACGGGGCTCTTTAGTCACCTGGGAACCTACAAAAATATTATTCTGTTTATATTTTTAGAAGCAGAGTCGATGTTTTGTCTTCAATAAGACCATCAATGTTCTGCAGTTGGTACAGGGGGCTGAGCACAGTTCACAGTAGCAGGTGGTGGACATGTCACCACACCAAAGTAACTCTGGCAAATGATACGCTTTCACAATACAAGCTTACATTGAATTTTGCTTTTCAATTCCTCCCCTCAGCCTCAAAGAGCATGGCAGGGGTGAATGCAGGTACAAGGGGCACTGGGAAAATGCAGGCAGAAAAGCAGAACGCATCCCAGCGGCAGCTGGTAGAGTGCTTGCCTTGTATGCACAAGGCCCTGGGTTCAATCTCTGGCATCAAAAAAAAAAAAAAAAAAAGAAAGAAAGAAAATAAAGGTATTGTGTCCATTTACAACTAAATATATATGCAATAAATAAATAAAGAACAACTGCTAAAAGCAACAAGGTAATATTCACAATATGGCATCTGGAGCCAGACTGCCTGGGCTCAAATCTCATCTGCCAATTCCTAAATGTGTAACTGAGCCAAAATGTACTTAGCTGATTCCTCAATAACAGAGAATTATCATATGATCCAACAATTCCACACCTAAATATATACCCCAAAGGACTGAAAACAGGTTTTAAACAAAACAAGAATGTTCACAGCACCATGGTTCACAATCACCAAAAGGTATACAGCACCCCACATGTGCACCAACAGACGATGATACATGAATGTGGTATTATCCATGCGTGGAACTATTCTGCCATAAAGAGGACTGAGGTGCTGATACATGCTGCGACACGAACAAGCCTTGAAAATATTACGATGCGTTGACAGAAGCCAGACACCAAAAACCACACGTTCTGTAATTCCATTTATAGTTGACTCACATTTGCCTATCCATAATAGGTAAATTGATAGAGACAGAAAGTAGATTAATGCTTTGGGACTCAGAAAAGGGAAGAATAGAGACTGACTATTCAATGGCTACAGGATTTCCTTTTGGGGTGATGAAATGTTCTGGAACTAGACAATGGTAATGACTGTACAACACTGTCACTGTGCTAAATGTGAATATACATGTTATGAGCTCGATCTAGATCAGCAGCATTCACCAGAACTTTCTTCATTGATGGAAATGTTTTATTATCTGTGCTGCTCAATAGCACTACTCATATGTGACTACTATGCACGTGAAATGTGGCCAGTGTACATAAGGAACTGAATTTCTCATTTTATTTAACTTACCTTCACCGAGTATCAGTGGCCAGTGGACTATATTAGACAGGATAGTTTGGGATCCTCTCCCCACTCCTCAGAATACCCTAGGTGGTAGGTACTATTAGCCCCATTTTAAAGATGAAGAGAGGCTCAGTGACATATTTAAGGACATAGAACTTGAGAAGCTTCCCTCATGGAAGCTCTAGTAATAGCTTCCAAATGAGGACACTGCTGAAACACTGGGCAGAGAAGGCAACTCAATGGCCCACAGGACCGGCTAACAGGAAAGGCAAACAAGACACAAGGGACTGTCCTCTCTCCTTTGTTCCCTCTCTCCCGACATCCACCCGTCTCTGCTGTCTACTTGCCTAGTCGATCCATGGCTGCATCAGTCTCTCTCTCCTGATCAGGGTGGTCCACTGTGCCAAAGCCAGCCTGAGGAAGAAGAAATAATTACCAGGGACTTGGGTATCTGGACATGCCCAGTAGAAAGCCACTGCCTCCCAGCTCCAAAGTCACCCTCTAATACTCCCCACCTTGGTGCAGGGCTGGGACCTTCAACCCACATTTCTGCTTTGTCGTGGTACACTCAGCAGGGATGGCAAGAGAAGCACCTTGTTTCTCCCCTGGCAGTGGGAGTGCCAGCCCAAAGCAGCCACTGAATCCGGCTGCCAGTTTTGCCAGGTTTGCAGAGCCAGCCTCATCCCAAGACCTCTCCTTCAAGCTCAGGGACCCTAGCACCAGCTGAAGCAATGCCCCATGACCAAAGGCTGGCATTGCAGCTCTGCAAAGCCTATCCTCTAGGCCGGGTGGTGCACGCCTATAATCCCAGCGGGTTGGGAGGCTAAAGCAGGAGGATCACGGGTTCAAAGCCAACCTCAGCAAAAGCGAGGCACTAAGCAACTCAGTGAGACCCTGTCTCTAAATAAAATACAAAACAGGGCTGGGATGTGGCTCAGTGGTCGAGTGCCCCTGAGCTCAATCCCCAGTACCCACTCCCCAAAAAGCCTATCCTCTAAACTTATAAATTTTAATCTTCGACTTTATCCCTGTTCCCTCAGTCACAGGGTTGGCAGCTATTTCCTGCAGTTGCTGCTTCTGTGTGCACTTTTTACCTTTTACCTTTTCAAATACTTAAAATACTTCACATCTAGTTAACAATTCCTTCTATCGAACTCCTGTCTCCTCACGATTCCTCTACCACTGAGCTATATCCCCAGCACTTTTTTTAATTTTTTGAGACAGGGTCTTACTAAATTGCCAAGGCTGGCCTCGAAGTTCTGATCCTCCTGCCTTAGTCTCCCAAGTAGCTGAGACTACAAGCACGTACCACCACACCTGGCTTCCAAGACCGCTTTCTAATGAAACAAGAAATATTGGGCTGGGGATGTGGCTCAAGCGGTAGCAGGCTCGCCTGGCATGCGCGGGGCGCTGGGTTCAATCCTCAATACCACATAAAAATAAAAAATAAAGATATTGTGTCTACCTACAAACTAAAAAATAAATATTAAAAAAAAAAAGAAATGTTCACAACCTGTATAATTAGACTTGATTTCAATCCTAGCTCCACCATTCATTCAGAATATGACCCCCTAGAAATTGGGGGTCACTGTTCTGACCCTGCAGGTGGCTTACGATAATGACATAACATTTATACAAACACCTAGTATGTTGTAGAAATGTAACATTTCTTGAATTTAAATTCACCTTTTATCCTACACCCAAATTGCACTTGGCACTTGCCCCAACTAGCATTCACTACCTATGTCTGGGTTTAATAATTCAATTTCACCTCCTATGGTCAGTGACAACCACTGGTCACTGTTGATCAAGGAGTTGGACCTCTCACCTAAACCACTGCCATAGTCTCCTAACTACCTCTGAACCCACCCAGCTTGCTCAGCTTTACAGAGTTAATCACAATTACAACCTTCAACAGCCCTCCACTGCAGAGTGCAAGATCAGCCATGACATTCACACTCCCCCTCTCCTCCCCACCATGGACTTGTTGAACATAGTTCTCTACCTGCTCTGCGACCCAAGCTCCAACCATTTGTCCTGCACCTCCTCATTCCCAGGCCTTTGCAGGCACCACTATCCTCTCATCTTTGAGAGGAAATGCACATCTTTTCCTACTTTGTCTTGACAAAATTAAAATTAGTCTCATTCTATTCTGTAATGCAAAGTAATCTGCTGTATGTCTATGGCTATATTTTTCATATCTTTGGTTAAATACCACCTTTGATGCTTAGATAAGCATTCCATTCATCCACCCAATTAATATACGTTTGTATGTTCCAGGCACAATGTTAGTTGCTTGGGTAAAGAGCCCTAAAGAGAGGGTTCTACCCTCAAAAAGCAGGTGATAACTATAAGAATGGTCTTGGGGGAAAAAAACGGTGCTTTCTGGCGCGCACGTGAAAACAAGTTTCTGGAAAACCTGCGTCAAACGGGCCTTTGATTTCATTAAATAGAAAAAAAGAGTGCCCATGTGACATCATCAGGTGCTTAGGTTAGCTGAGCATGCCCACCAATGGACAGAGGTTCCCAAGGTAAAGCCCCTCTCCTCGTTGTCCTCACCAGATCCTGGCCCAGGCCCCCGGCGGCGGGCCCCAGCTCTCGTTCATCAGCATCACCTCCCATTTACCAAGTATGTGAAGGCTCCCCGAAGCCCACAGCCTTCCCAGCCCTGCGACGCGCCCACCCACGCCCTGGCGTTCCCCGCCCGGCAGCCAGTCCACCGGCCGTTTCCAGCCCTAGCGCGCGCCCAAACGGCGCTCAGCCTTCAGGAGCGCCCGAGGCGCTTCCCAGGCTCCGCTGTCGCCGCCCGGCACCGCCCCGCGAGCCCCGCAACTTCCCGCCCCGGGCCGCTGGCAGTAGCTGCGTCCGGTCCCGGCGGGGAGCTCACCTCCGGGCTGGGGGGAGCCTCCTGCGCGCTCTGCAGCTGGGGGCCCCGCGGCGGCCCGGCGGCCCCCAGAGCCTGGGACCCGGCCGCCTGAAGGTCCATGCCCGGCTGCCCGCGGCTCGGCGCCCGGGACGCGGCGCGGCCACGTGATGCGCCGGCCCGACTGCCAGCTCGAGGATACGCCGCAGAAGGGCCAATCAGCCACGGGTGTTCCCGACCGGGGCGGGACAGGGGTCACCAGGAAGCCAGGGGCGGGGCGGCGCAGGGGGCGGGGCCCGCCGCGGGGGTAGACACTGCCCACCTACCCCACGCGGAGCCAGAAACAGTCCAATCCCGGGTGCAGATTCTGGGAACAACTAGCCGGGATGGACTACTAGCTGGGTCCGACATGGCAAGTGTTATCCCTGCCCAACCATACTGGATGTATTTCAGCTTCAACACCTCCATTCCCGTTAGAACACGAAATTACCAGATAGGACATAAAGCCCAGCTGTCAAAACACTTAATGCTATTGATGGGCTGGGGATGCAGCTCAGTTGTGCAAGGCCCTAGGTTCAATCCCCAGTACCAAAAAAAAAAAAAAAAAACCCACAACCTGCTAATGCCATTGAGGCTCACATTTCACTCCATATCCCTTCACAGGTCTCCCCTAGACTTCAGGCTAGAATTGTACTGTCACCTATCCATCCACAAATAAATAAGGCAATTCAGCAGCCCAGTAAGTCCTCACTTGGAGTTTAGTCAATAAAGCTAATCCATTATAAACCAGGATAGATGACCAAAACAACAAATTCCTACAATGTCTGGACACAGTAGAGGCCCGAAAACCCTAGACCGGCTCCTGTGACAGCAGAATCTGACAGGAAGTCCTATCTTTTAATGCCCAAAGTCTGGTAGTCTACAGTCTATTTCCCTTGAGCAAATAAGGTGGTATTCGGCAACGGGCAAAGCCTGACATCCCCCCTCCCAAAACCCAACTATACAGCAGCCTTCACTGGGACCCCCCACCACGCCCTGCCCCCCCCCCCAGCAATGACTAAATTCTAACAAATCAATGCAAGGAGTGATCACATTACCAGTCAACATGAATATTGTTCTTTTTCCCCCCTTTTCTTTTTTTTTTTTTTTTTTTTTTCTGGTACTAGGGATTGAACTCAGGGGTGCTAAACCACTGAGCTAAGTCCCCCAGTGTTTTTTATTTTTTGAGAAATGGTCCCACTAGGTTGCCAAGGCGGGCCTCAATTTGCGATCCTCCTGCCTCAGCCTCCCAAGTCACTGGATCAGGCATGTGCCACCACACCCAGCTCAGTTACCAGGCAACATTATGACAGTCTTTGGGGACATTTGCCTTTCTTCATCTCCCTCAATATGTTTGTAAGTGACATAAAGCATTTGAAAAAACTTAAAATTGACACATAATATTCAATATTATTTTATATACTTTCCTATAGAAAAGGAAATGCAACTAATCAACACATGTTCTGTTCTGCTGACCCGTGAGTCTGCACAGGCTCTAGTCAGCAATGCTCAACAGCATCTTCTGCATGGTAGAAATTACTAAGCTCCTGAAATGTGGCCAGTATGGGGCTGGGGTTGTGGCTCTGTGGTAGAGTGCTCACCTAACACACATGAGGCACTGGGTTCGATCCTCAGCACCACATAAGAATGAAATAAAAATATTGTGTCCACCTACAACTGAAAAATAAATATATAAAAAAAGGAAAGACATGGCCAGTATGAATGAGAATCTGAATTACTTTGTCACACATGGCCACACCTACATACAACTCTAGGTGAACTAGCATTTTCATAACCTGCAACACTGAGAGCCATATACAAAGATGTTATGATCTCAGGGTAACCCAACTTCTTTTTTCCCTATCTTATAGGTTAGCATGTATCTCTCTTAAAATAAGGATGCCATGTAAAATTTAGAAAGTTAAACTTCCCAGGACTTGAGAAATAAATTTTTCTTAAAGGAAATGACAAGCAAACAACATGTAAGAGCACAAAAGCCCAAAATAAATATGTCCCAAAACACTCTAACAGGCATAGAAATTCAATATATACTAAAGGTAGTATCAGAAATCAGCAGAGAGAAAAATGGCCAAACAGCGCTGGAAAACTAGTTAAACGCATTTCTAAAACAACAGAACTGCACATAAAATTATTTGCAACAAAACAAAGGAAAGATTGGCATTCAACATATTAAAAAACTTATAAGTTAGGACTGGGGTTGTGACTCAGTGGAAGAGCGCTTGTCTAGTAAGTTCGAGGCACTGGGTTCGATTCTCAGCACCACATGTAAAAAAGTAAATAAAATAAAGGTCCGTGAACAACTAATAAAAATATTTCTTAAACTTATAAATTAGTTAGAAAAAGTAATTTAAAAATATTATGAAAGATGAGAAACACATTAACTTCATTAATCTCAGAAAAACTCATGTCAAAACTATCACTTTTCAAAATGGCAAAAATATAAATTATAATATCTAGTGCAAACAAGGACATTGCCACTTTCATACTGCTTGAAAGGAGCAAAATGGCAATACATATCAATATTCTCTACAATATATCCTTTGATCCAGAAATTCCACTCATACCAGAAATTCAGTCTCTTAAAGAAAACAATCCTAGATGTGAACAAAGAATGACAAAAATCTCTATCAGAAGCATTTATAAAATATATATAAAATGACAAGGTCCAACCAGAGGATTAATAAAATAAATCAGGGCTATTTTTATAATGGAATGTTACAAATTAATTAAAATGTTTTAAGGGTATTTAATGACATAGGATAATAATGTACTATTAAGTGAGACTGCACTGAATGCTTCTCCCAGTGATATCACAATGTTAAGTTAAATGATATAAATTCAAACAATTCTCTCCCCTGCTCCCAGAATGCCCTTTTCTGCCCAAAGCCGTCTTTCCAGGTCTCCCCAGTGAGATACTTCTCTGCCACTCTAATCCACTACCCTGCCCTTTGGTTGCCTCCCCAATACAAATACAAACAATTCTCTGCTTATCTATCCTTAGGACAGATAAAACACGTTTATAGTTTTTAACCTTCTTAAAGGACTTCCCCCTGCCCCACTCAAATTCCAGCACCTTCATCTCTGCTGCTCCAACCAGCTCTTTGGATATGCTTTTTTCCAACCCCTACCTCTATCCCCCACAGCCTTCCTTCTTTTGTGCAAATGATAAGCACTCAAATACTTCTGGAATGATCTAAAAATATAAATCCAATTCTGAAAAAGAAAATCAAATTACTAAATCCAACTTAAGCTGGATTACAGGAGGTTTTCAACTTCTCACTATCCTATTTCATCCATATTTCAAATGCGTATCACATATAGTTTCACAGTAAAGAGAGAACAGATAAAACCATGTGTCCTCTTTCATTTTAACTGGCTGCTAGGTCTAGATTTAAAGTATGTCTGCTTGACCTGAAATAATAAATACAATGCAGTGCAGGATTTCCATATATTTTGAAAAACATTTAAGAACTATGGTTGCCAGGCATCTTGGCACATGCTTGTAATCCCAGCTATTCAGCATCCTGGCTGAGGCAGTTGAATCACAAATTTGATGTCAGCCTGAGCAATTTGGTGAAATCCTGTCTCAATTTTTGTTTAAAAAGGGAGGGAAATGGGCTCAGAATGTGGCTCAATGGTAGAGTATCTCTCCCCCCCCAACCCCACCCAGTTCAATCCCCAGTACAGGAGGAAGGAGGAAAAAAAAAACTAGTAGATTTGGCCTCAACCAATAGTCATTCAAGAAGCAGTTCTTTTTCCTGAAACTAAAGATTAACACAACACAAAACATCTCAAAATCAATCAGCCATTTTATCTGTCACCTCAATTTACAGACTGATTCATAATACAAAAGTGTCCAGGAGGCTTGCAAGAGGATTTTACAAAGTTCGTTGTATTCTTCTCTTCACTAATGTCCAGCCTGATGCATAGCATGTTTGGCTACAAACAATTCTGCTGACTCTCCCTGCAACATCTTCATGGCTCGCCAATAGATCTGCCCACAATTCTCAGGTCTACCAAGTGGGTGATTCAATTCTTCTTTGATGTAGTCCATCCAAAGATCTTAAAAAGGAATGAAAAAAAAAAAAAAAATACTGTAAACATAGTTAGACAACTAATAAGGCTTTTTAGGCAATTATTTAATATTGATTCAAAATTTCTAAGAAACTTAACTCCTGTTATTTCCCTAGAGCCCTATATGAAGCAATACTTCTCATGGCTTTTTTACATGAAGGTATAGGAAAAGGGTTTTCTGGTTAATAGAAAACCTTCCCATTAATCATGACAGCCTATGTTATTTAATCAACTAAAAATACTAAGATTTTTTAAAAGGGAAGATTTTGTTGAAGTCTCTTTCAAGGCAAGAGTAACCTCAATCAATTCACAAATAACCTTATTACTGTGCTTAAATAAAATTTGTTTGTGTTAGCAAAAAATGCTGCTTTCATCTATTTCACCACATATAGTCTATTGAAAACCAGCAGGAATTGTTGGTGAGATTGTAAATTAGTACAACCACTATGGAAATCAATATGAAGGTTCCTCAAATCACCATACGACCCAGCTACACCACTACCCGGTATTTATCCTAAAGAATTAAACTCAGCATACTACAGCAATACCTGCATAACCATGTTTATAGCAGCATAATCCACAAAAGCCGAACTATGAAACCAACTAGCCTAAGAGTCCATCAATAGACAAATGAATAAAGAAAATACACACACACACACAATGGAGTTTTACTCAGCCATAAAGAAAAATTAAATTATGTCATTTGCTGGAAAATGGATGGAACTAGAAACCATGAATTTAAGCAAAATAAGTCAAACTTAAGGTCAAGGGTCATGTTTTCCCTCATATGGGGAAGCTGGAGAGGAAAAAGAAAAAGAAAAGTAGGTGGAATCTCATGAAAATTGAAGTGAGATCAGTAGAAGAAAGGAAAGAGACTTGGGAAAGGAAGAAAAGAAAAAGGGAAATACTGGGGTATGATATTGGCCAAATTATACTGTCATATCATGTGCATATATGAATATGTAACAACAAATCGAACCATTAAAAAATGGGGGAAAACTTTAAAGCCCCATATTCTACATGACAAAACTATGCCCAGAAGTATGTTGGGCAATTCTTACAAGTGGGCAGTGTAGTTGACAGCCATGTTACCATCAGCTCTAACTCCCACACCTTTTTGTTCTTCTGACAAGTTATTTTTTTTTAACTTTAAAATTTTAAACAAATAGATATGTAAAAACTGTATATATTAATGGGGTAACAGAACATTTGATACATGCATACATTGTACAATGTTTAAATGAGGTTATACATATCTTCTCAAACATTTGTCATGTCTTTATGGTGAAAACTTTCAATATTGTTTCTTCTAGCTTTTTGAAATATGTGGTACATTACTATTATCTATAGTCACCCTACTGTGCAACAGCACATCAGAACTACTTGCTCCTATCAAACTGTAACTTAGTACCCATTGATCAATCTTGCCCTATCCTCCCTCCCCACTACTATGGCCTACTATGACTAATCACCTCCATTATGAACATATTCCTTACAAATAAGTATTCCTTACCCCTCCCCCCACCTTTTTTGTTCCTAGCACTGGGGGGTGAACCCAGGGGCATTTTATCCTTGAGCTATATCCCCAGCCCTCTTTTTTTTTTTCTTTTCTTTCTTCTTTTTTTTTTAAGAGACAGAGACTCACCAAGTAACAAGGCAATCCTCCTCCTCAACCTCCCAAGTGATTGGAATTACAGACATGCATCACTATACCCCACTAAATTTTTTTTTTTTTTTTTTTTTTTTTTAAGAAAACCTAACCAAGCATATCTTTCTCTAACCCAGAGTTCTTAAGAGAAGAACTTATGGATTCTTGGAAACTTAAAATTTTAAGTAAAACTATGTGTCCAATAAGTTTTTGTACACAAGGCAAGGGAGAAGGCAGGGGAAGGAATCAAGTGCTATTCAAAGGCCATGATACAAAAAAGCTAAACACTGTTGTAACTTATTCACAGGTCACAGACTGCAGAAGCCAACACTTCTTCAGTTATGTGTCCATAACTGAAGTTTACTTACCAGAATCTACAGATCCAAACTCTCTCAAAGCTCTCTCATAATATTCTCTTAAGTTTGCCATCTTGCAGGATTCCTAACAAAAACAATCAGACAATTTTGCCACAAAAGCCTGGTTATAAAATCACAAGTTCATTTCAAACTTAGAGTTAACAACTACCATCTGTTAGATATTTGAAGGGGAAGGAGGGTCAGGGTATAAGACGAATCAGCCTAGTTGTCAACTTACCCAGAAAAAAGGCAAATGCACTACCCACCAGAGTGAAGTCAATGTCAATTCGTAAAAACACCTTGCTCTGGTGGCATGGAAAAAAGTCTAATAAATTTTCAGTAAGGGATTAAACAAAGGGGAATGAAGAGAAGGGAGTAGGATTGGGCATAGGAAAGACAATAGAATGAACCGGACATAACTGTCCTATGTTCATAAATGAATACATGACCAGTGTAACTCTACATCATGTACAACCATAAGAAGGGGAAGTTAGGGCTGGGGTTATTGCTCAGCAGTAGAGTGCACGCCTCACACGTGTGATCCTGGGTTCAATCCTCAGCACCACGTAAAAGATAAATGAATAAAATAAAGGTACTGTGTCCAACTACAACTAAAAAATAAATATTAAAAAAAAAAAGAATGGGAAGTTATACTCCATGTATGTATGATATGTTAAAATATATTCTACTCGAGGCTTGGGTTGTGGCTCAGTGATAGAGCACTCGCCTAGTACATGGGTTCGATCCTCAGCACCACATAAAAATAAATAAAATAAAGGTATTGTGTCCAACAACAATTGAAAAAAATATATATATAGGGCTGGGGATGTGGCTCAAGCAGTAGCACGCTCGCCTGGCATGCGTGCGGCCCTGGTTCGATCCTCAGCACCACATACAAACAAAGATGTTGTGTCCGCCGATAACTAAAAAATAAATATTAAAAATTCTCTCTCTCTCTCTCTGTCTCTCTCTCTAAAATATATATATATATATATATATATATATATATATCATTCTACTGTCATATATAACTAAAAAGAACAAAAAAAAAATTAATGGGAAACATGAAAGGCTTCACAGGAAACATTTGAAAGGCTTGGGGGATGAGTAAGAGTAAAATAAAGAAACAAATTTATATGACCCTTGGCAAGTTTTGGGGGGTTTTTTAGTGTGGTTTTTTTTTGGGGGGGGGATGAGAATTTTTGAACCCAGGGGTGCTTTATCACTGAGTCAAATCCCTAGTCCTTTTTATTTTTTATTTTGAGATAGGGGCTCACTAAGTTGCTGAGACTGGCCTCAAATTTGTAATCCTCTTGCTTCAGCTGATTTCCCTGGTTGCCCAGCTTATAGGCATGTACCACCATACCTGGCTAACCTTCAACAAGTGTTTTAAACCCTCTGTCAATATTTTCTCACATGGAAAACAAGGTTTGTACTTCTTAGTGCAACTATAAGTATTAAAGTAATGATTAATGATGAGCCTAATGATAAGTATTAAAGTAATGATTAATGATGAACCGCTAATTTTAGACAATCAATAACTGCTAATTCTTCATCTATTTTTAAAAATACACCCCCTTTTGCTTTCTTTTCACAGTAGACTTGACATCTTCAGTTTAAAAATCCTTTTGTATAATAAAATAACTACTTCCTGAGCTGGGGAGTTACCTCAGGGGCACAGCACTTGTCTAGCATGTATAATTCCTGGGTTAGATTCCTAGCAGCACAGAAAAAAAAACCAAAATCTTCCTAATTCAAATCTCACTTCACTGAGATTGTATTATATTACAGGAAGTCAATTTAACCTCATATGCTTTAAAAAAAAAAAAAAAAAACAGAATCATACTTTGCTGAGGGTTCCTAATGGTCAAGGCACTATGCAAAGTCCTTTCTACGTAGTATCCCAATTAGGCCCTATAACTCTCATACAACTGAAAAAGGTATAAGGACCTTTTATAGATGAGGATGTGAGGCTTAGAACTAAGTGGTCTGCCCAAGGCACATGTTAATACAAAGTCTGGCTGTTTGATGATATTAAACTATCTCTAGTATTATAAGACTGTACATACTATAGAACATGAATAGACACTTGACTCAGACAACAATGGTCAAACTATGAAAAAAGGAGTTCAACCGCACTAGTAACTTTTTTTTGGGGGGTGGGGGGGTGCCAGGGATTGAACCTAGGGGAACTGAACCACATCCCTAGCCCTTATATTTTATTTAGAGTCAAGGTCTGGCTAAGTTGCTGAGGCTGGCTTTGAACTCTTGATCCTCCTGCCTCAGCCTCCCAAGTGGCTGGGATTATAGGCATGTGCCATCATGCCCAGGTAACTTTGAAAATGCAAATATAAAAAAACACCAAGTGAAGTACCAAAATAAAAGAGAAAAAGCAAAATTGGATACTTGGAGAAGCTAAAAGGAAACAAGGATGCAGTATATCTTATTATAAATAAGCCTTTTTTTTTTTTTTTTTTGTAGTTTTAGATGAATAGAATGCTTTACTTGTTTATTTTTATGTGGTGCTGAGAATCGAACCCAGTGCCTCACACATGCTAGGCAAGCACTCTACCACTGAGCCACAACCCAGCCCAAGCCTAATTCTTTTGGAGAGCTATAATATGGCAATATAATAAAACCATACAAAATATGCCCCCAATCCAGAAATTTATATCAGTAATTTATGTAGAAAAAAGCTACATAAAGACAATCTCTGCAGCAGTGTTTTCAATATACAAAAAAAAAGAGATAAGAATCTATATATATAATGGAATAGATATGAAAATTACAGGTTTAAGAATTACATTAGAGCTGGGCACAGCATTACATGCCTATAATCCCAGCTGCTCAGGAGCCTCAGACAGGATTGCAAGTTCAAAGAAAGCCTCATCACCAGGGCACAGGTAGCACAAGCCTGTAATCCCAACAGTTCAGGAGGCTGAAGAGAGAGGATCACAAGTTTAGAACCAGCCTCAGCATCTTAGTGAGGCCCTAAGCAACTCAGTGAGACCCTGTCTCAAAATAAAATATAAAAAAGAACTGGGGATGTGACTCAGTGGTTAAGCACCCATGTGTTCAATACCCAGTAACAAAAGAAAAAAGGGGAAAAAAAAAGGATTACAACCATTAAAAATGTGATAAACATATAAAAACACAGGAATGTGTCTATAAAAGGAGATCTCTCATTTGACACCTAAGTCCAAAATATAACAGTACAAAACCAAGTGCATGTGAATTAAAATATTAAATAATAGTAGGCTATATTAATGTGATGGGATTACAGATACATTAGGATTTTTGTGAATTATTTTTAAATGCGACTCTCCTGTCCTTTCTCCTGGCTCACAAGTTCCATTTAAAAACACCAGGAATAGTAATTGAGTCTTCACTCTGTACCTCACCATCCACACTATGAAAGCAAAGCAGAAGCAGTCCCTCATCCAGAATGGTAGGTAAGGCTTCCTGTCAGAGGTGACGTCCAAGTTTTTTACTCTCCAAACAGGTACTTTCTTGATACCATTCCTACTAGCTCTATAGAAAATGGGTTGGACCAAGAAACCAGAAATATCTTTTCTTCCTCCACAGTACTGAGGATTGAATCCAGGAGTGCCCCACCACTGAGCTACATCATTTTTTATTTTGATACAGGGTCTCCCTAAAGTTGTCCAGGCTAGCCTCAAATTTGCAATCCCCCTGCCTCAGCCTCCCAAGTAGCTAGGACTACAAGTATGCACTACCACACCCAGTGGAACCAGAAATTTATACTATACCAGAAATTTATACTGTATTATAATAAGTTTTTAAAACAATGAGATGCTGCCATAGATTAGTAACTACTAGCCCATTTTCCCAGACAAGTCATGCTTAGAATACTTACTTGCTCCTTTTCAAACTGGATCATTTTCCTGAAAAAATCTACTGAAAATGGCCGGTTTTCCTGTAAACTAAAATAGAATGTAAAAATGTCATCTTCCACAGTGATAGGATGCCTTTTACTTCTTATAAATAAAAATAAATACCCAGGGCAGTGCCTCCAAAAGAGGGGGTTTAACAAAGACTTTGCTGTAATTCCATGCAAGGTCTAGACCCAGTGACTACTCTCAACCTTTAGTGACTTCCCCTTCACCACCAAAGTCTTTCCTACTCACTTTTCTTTCTGCTTTCCTCTTTCTCACATTTGGAGTCTAAAGTTTCCCCAACTATATCTTAAGATCTTTTTGGAGGCCAATAGTTCCATTTCTAAGACTACATCCTAAGGAAATAATTTCTCTTACGGACAAATACTACTGCCAAGGAAATGTTCATCAAGCAGTATTACCATGGCCAAAGAAATTATACCAAATCCACAGAGTGGTTTTTAATAAATGTTAATGAAGAATGTATACTGAAAGAGGAAAAGATGGAACACAAAACTATGATTATAGTTTAACCTCAACTACATAAGAAACAAATTCTAAAATATATTAACAGTGGTTTTTCTTTTGATGGGATTACAATGAATCACCTGTTGATTTTCTCTGCCAAAGAGGTTTAATTGCTTTTATTGTTCAAAAGCAGTAAAAGGAAGCATTACTTTTTTAAAAAATCCTTTCCCAGATACTATTTGTGATACATACAATTTGGCTATGATGGGCCATGGAGTAGAGAGAGTAGAAACGGCTATAAAAGTTTGTGAGTACCTTTTAAACACAGTTCTGGCCTTTTTGTTGCCACCAATTCGATATGCCCAATCCAAGTATTTATCCTTCAGAGTTACTGAGCTGGTACCTGTGATAGCTAAAATAGCTTTCTACAATGTAAAAGAAAAAAGAAACAAGTTGTATGAGGAAATTTATAGATAACAAAACAAATTTTCCCAGAACCACCCCAGGCTACTTAATGGGGCTTTAGGACATATGCTGATGAAAGAACCCTCCAACTAGTGAGCCCATTCCCCAAACCACAAGACTTAGAACATGGAACTACACCTTATAGATTGCTTCTGTGTCTTCATGGCTTTGGGCACCTTCACTCCACTCTGCCCATGAAATCCATAAGGGCAAACAAACCTACTCCCAATTAAAAAAAAAAAAAAAAAAGTTAGAAAATGATCGTTCAGCACTATGCTCTGAAAATTTATCACTATAAAGATGGGCTCCTCCTAAGACAATCAATATGCAAACTATGGATTCATTTCTGCCCAGCAGGAATTGGCATGTCAGAACATAGACAGCCTTCTAAGTAATCCAGAGCAATCCTCTCCTGCTAATTTTAGTTCCCTTCTGTTGGGGAATACTTCCTGTAGTTGCCATCATCAATCATCATTCAGTTACTTAAACCATTAACAGCAGACAGACAGCCCAACCCACAGCTACCCAGGCCATGGCTCTGCTGTCTAGGACCTACAACACAAGAACTAACTAATCAAGGCTGATTTTTCACTCACTTGCCAAAAGCAAACACAAATGAACAGGAAAATAGTGTTTTTCCCATTTTACCTTCTGGAGTACATTTTCCTCACTGATATAAAAAGATTTACTGTATAGTTTTAAGTTTTGATCTTTAAAGATTAGAAATATATTTTCAATTAAAAGTCAGGTCAATGTTCAGCTTTAGATGCAAGTGAGAATAATATTGTATCAAATTTATCACTTGTTCCAAGATATCTAAACAGAATAGAAAGTTTTATATAATATAGCCAATTTTCAAATAAGGGTTAGAAATAAGCTGTTGAAGCTGGGCATGGTGGCAGGTGCACACCTATAATCCCAAAAGTTCAGGAATTTGAGGCAGGAGGATGGTAAGTTCAAAACCAGCCTCAAAAACTCAGCAAGGCCCTAAGCAACTCAGGACCCTGTCTCCAAATAAAATTCAAAAGAGTGATGGGGATGTGCCCCTGGGTTCAATCCCCGGTATCAAACAAAAAAGAAAGAAAGAAATGAAATGAATTCTACTACTGATCCCTCAAACCATCACCACTTTACAATAAATGTCACTCTAGGGTCAGCTCTCAGCAAATATGTATTCAAAGGAGCTTTGGCTAAAGTCTTAACAGGTTTCCCAAACAGAATGAAACATGAAAGACCCAACTCACAGACCTGGGGTTTGAGGTGCACAAAGGCTTCTTCAACAAACATGGCTATGTCAGGACTCTTTGAGGCAATCAGCACCTGCAGCTTCATCTGCCACATTGTCACAGAGTCCTTGAACAATTCAATCCCAGCTTCTGCCACCTCCAGAGCTTCCGTAAAGAAGTCACGGGGCAGCAACAACTCAATCTAAGACAAAGTTAATTACTGAAAAGTTAATTACTGAAACATAAATAACATATGTAAATAGAGACAAAGACCTCATGTGAGACAATAATTTCAACAGCCTTTCCACTAAAATTTTTACCCTGGCTGCTGCATAGGCCCAAAGAGAACAATTTGGAATTCCTCTTCCTTTTCCTACTCCTATACATAAAGACAATCAAGAAAAACAGGAACAGGGGTTGTAGCTCAGTGGTAGAGCGCCTGCCTGGCATGTGTGAGGTACTGAGTTCAATTCTTAGCACTGCATATAAATAAATAAAGGTCCATCAACAACTTAAAAAATATTAAAAAAAAAAAAAAAACAGGGACAAAAGCTGGTGTGCAGGAGCATATTCTTATAATCCCAGCTACTAGGATGGGTGAGTCAGAAGGATCACAAGTTTGAGGCCAGCCTGGGCAACTTAGCAAGACCCTATCTCAAAATAAAAAATTAAAAACGGCTGAGGTTTAGCTCAGTTGTAGAGCACCCCTGGGTTCAAACCCCAGTACACACACACACACACACACACACACACACACACACACATACAAACACAAATTGGGCCATCATGACTTAATTCCAAAGACTTATCAAATATACTCAGGGGGCCGCTGGGGGACTGGATGTACTTCAGTGGTATAACTCCCTAGCATGGCATGGGGCAGGGATTTAGACTGGTGCTCACACCCACCAGAATATAAGTCAATAAAGATAAAATAAGTATTTGGGGCACAGTAATTAAATAGATGTATTCAATCAAATGGAGTTGGATACATTACATTACAATTTTTCTAAAACGTAATTTAGCACTGTGTAACAAGTCATAGAAGTTTTCATCTTTTTAAAAGTTTTGAACTTTAACAAATATGGCCTGACAAAAAAAAGAAGGAAACCTTATCTGTTCAAAGGTTTATATCCACACTAGTTGGCTATATTTTTGTTTTTGTAGTACCATAGATTGAAAGCAGGGGCGCTCTACCACTGCACTATATTCCTAGCACTTACTTATTTTGAGACACGGTCTCACTAAACTGCCCAGGCTGGCCTCAAATTTGTGATCGTCTTGTCTCATTGTCCCAAGTAGCTGAGATTATAGGTATATACTACTGCACCCTAGCGTCCACAGTTTTAATAGAGGAAAAAAACTGCTAAGTGCAGTGGCACACACCTGTAATCCCAGCACCTCAGGATGCTCAGGTAGGAGGATCACAGGTTCAAAACCAGCCTCAGCAACTTAGCAAGGCCCTGTCTCAAAATAAAATATAAGAAAAGGGCTGGGGATGTGGCTCAGAGGTTCAATGCCCCAGGATCAATCCCAGATACCAAAAAAAGAGAGAGAAAAAAAAAAAAAAAACCCTAAAACAATTCCAATTTTACAGAAGTGTGAAAAAGTGAGTAAATGGCAATATATAAACAGTTCACCCATATTATATGCTAGATTTAATTTATACTCCTACTGCCTACAGAGAGACTTCCTAAAAAGACAGCCTACCAAAAGAGACAGTTTGACATGTGCCATGACAAAAAGAATCACCTGCTACACGAGTACAAACCAGAAACACCAACTAGAGCTTTGGCAATTACCAGAGAGGACTCAGAAAAGGAGCATTTAAGCCAAGACTTAAAACAGAAATACGTACTAACCAAATGAACACAAGACCTCCAGAAAAAGAGAAGGCTTTCCCAACTAGCAAGAGGCCAGAGATGGCTCAGATAAAAGGAAATCCAAGTTCAGTATGACTGGAGGGTAGGACACACACCAAAGGATTGGAAGATGAGTCTGGAAATACTGGCAGGGGCCAAGTTAAAGAGTAGAGATTCTGTGGAGAACAATCTGGAAAAAGGATGGGTGTAGAATTAGCTGGGCATTTAACTTTTATGGCAGTATGCTAAGGGATTCTCTTTAAAAGTAAGGTCATCAATGATGGCTGAGGTGGTAGTCTTAGGAAAGGCAACTTCAGAGATTTGAGTATTGTAAGAATGTTTGAAATAGCCAGAGTTGTAAACAACATAAGAAAGATGATAACAGAAGAACAGGACTGCCAAGGTAATATTCAAAGACCACTTGAATTTATGCATTGTGAATGACTTTCCAACACTTAATAACTCCAGCCCTGGGATTTTCCTGAGTAGTTGCCTTAAAAGGAGAAGAGTATCTCAGCCTTGGAATAATATAACAGGTTATACTACCTAGTATCTTGAGGGAAATATTAATGCAAAAATAATAGAACACAATACAAAATAGAACACAATACAAAATAGAAAAAACATTCATTACAATTACATAAAAATAATATTGATCAAAAGGGGCAAGCTAGGTGTGTTGGCACACTCCTTTAATCCCAGTGGCTTGGGAAGCTGAGGCAGGAGGATCGTGAATTCAAAGCCAGTCTCAGCAAAGTAAGCAACTCAGTGAGACCCGGTCTCTAAATAAAATACAAAATAGGACTGGGGATGTGACTCAGTGGTTAAGTGGCCCTGAGTTCAATCCTTGGTATGCTGCCCCATCCCCTGCCAAAAAAAAAAAAAAGAGGCAGAAGTCATATAAATAAAAAACTCAATAAATATAAAAATTTTTGTTTTCCCCCCCGCTGAACAGTTATATTAACACATTCACTACTTTATGCAATGCTCTCAACGACTTTGTGAGGTGGCAAAAACAAAGATGACTATTTTAAAACCAAATAAACTCAGCAAAGTTAAGTGGTTTTTCTAAGTCATCAGTAAAACCTGATCTAAAACTATATATTTCCACAGTATAGTATTCTGGACTTTCTTTACCCTCAACTCAAAGTATAGAGGGTTAATGTGCCTCTTACTAGAATGTCGGCTTTTGAAATACAGGAACATATTTCATTGCTTTAATGGTTACTCTGGGCCAGGAAAAAAATGTTCATTAAAAGATGGATGAATGGGGTTGGGGTGAGGTTCAGAGGAAGAGCACCTGCCTAGCATGCACAAGGCCCTGGATTTGATCACCAGCATCACAAATAAATAAAGGATGGGTGAATAAACAAACTCAGACTCTCTGTTCAAGTACTTTCCACTGTATAATACCTTCCCCTTCACAGATTTCAATTTTGGTGTATACCAAATACAACCACACGTAAATACCATCTTCCAAATGGCCACAGTTGTGTAAGATAGATTAGTCCATACATACAAAACACACTGACAACAGCACAAAACAACAAAAATAAAGTATATGTAACTGACAGTGAATGTGCTCTCAATGTTCTTACCCACTGCTTGTACTGGGATTCTGAAAGGAGCTTGAGTTCGTGTGCCTTCCTGAATGAAATCATGGTTCTTTCCAGTCTCTAAAATCAGAAAAATTCCTCAGTTTATTACCAAGATCTCATCAGAGGCCTCTGTCCACTGATATAAACAAAAACAATTTTGCATATTTCTAACAATTCAGAGAAAGGACTGGTTGCTCCTGCATCATGGTGTCACTCATCATTAGAGGAGGTTATCACTTGTATGGGGCACAGCCCAGTAAGAAGAGGGCCCCTCCTACCCTTGTGTACAGTATAAGGGCAAACCAAATCAGACCTTGAAAATGACAGGCCACCCTCCTGGCTGTCAGGAGAAAGTGGTTAAGCTTGAAGTTCCAAAAGCTGGCCCAGACCCTCCCGCAAAATGCTGTGCTTCTGTTCTTCTTTTAGAAGATAGGCACTTTCTAATCAGTCACTGTAACCATGAAATACAAGCCCTTACCTTCCCTCTGAGGAACTCACTACTCGTCTTCTTAGAAAATCTTTCCAAGCAAAAATTGATGTAACATTTCCACATGCCCTCTGGGAAAAAAAATCACATTACATTGATAAGATCACCAATTCTCTTAGTTCAATAATCATCACATGTGTTTTCTTCAAAGGGAAAAAGCCTCTGAAGAAAAGTTTTAACTAGCTTAATGGAAAATTATTCGGGAGCTGAGGTTGTGGCTCAGTGGCAGAGCGCTTGCCTGGCACACGTGAGGCACTAGGCTCAATCCTCAGCACCACACAAAAATAAATAAATAAAATAAAGGTATTATGTCCATCTACAACTAAAAAAATATTGGGAAAAAAAAAGTTATTCGAATTACAGCCAAACATTTCAAATACTGGGGGAAAGCATCTGAGTAATAATAGAAACATAAAATTCAAAATCAAAAGCTTTATCCAGGTTTTAGATCCTCACCAATTTTATTCTCCAATATTATAAAAGAAGTTAAATCTCTAGCAAAAGATAACTAAAGAATCTTCTGAATTATCATTTCCTAAGTATCAACTCCTCCAAACAAATGAACATAAAGACCGCAAAGATAGAGGAAGTATACAAAAGCTCCAACTTCCACCATCAGAGAAAGAACAAGCTGGAAAGCCAGGCACATTGCAAACTGTACTATAAAGAGATTTCCAGTGCCAATTTTGGTAATGGGAAGGGGAGTGTCTGCTCATACTTGGATACTGTTACTTCTACACGACATGGCGGTTTAAAGAAGTTTACCTGTAGGCAGAGTCTTCACTGCCTCTTCATATACAGCACAGCACCTCTCCTCCCTCCGGCCCACCTCCGCTGCTCTGACTTGTTTTGTCAGAGGCTGCTCATCTCCTGGTTGTGACTGGATCTCTAATTCTCGGCGTGCCACATAATCCCAAGTGAGAGGGTCATCTGTGTGCATAGCCTGAAGGCTGAAAAATACAGTTTATTGGCATTTGTTCCACAAAAAGGAACTCGGAATTCCCAAACAGACAGTTCCACATGGTCTAAAAATGTACACAAGACACCTTTATAACTGCAGTACCTTAAGAGCCAGAGTACCTTCACTCACTATATAATCAGTGGAACAAAGCTGTCACAGATTTATTGTCTCATAATATTTCAGACATCACTGACAAATGTTAACATTCAAGTTAACTCATAAAGTCAAATCAGCAGTTATCTGCAACCACACAAGCCTCCAAGAGCTCTTGACAGCTTTATATCCTAACTCTGGATTTCCTGTTATTATAATGGAGGCAGAGAAAAAGCACAACCTAATCCTCTACCAAAACTCTACAGATCTAAAGGACAAACTGATCCACATTTCATCTTATACCCTAGAAAAGCACAGGGTGCTACCTAAGAATGGAAGTACATATAAAGTAGGCACAAATAAAAAATTCTTAGACAATATAATCAGGCATTGAAGAATAAAATTACTTGCAACATTCCAGTAAGAACAGTTATGAATACAACTCTTGTTTTATGAACAAAAGACATGCCAGGACAACAGAACACAGGTTTTCTTGTTTTTCTTTTGGTACTAAGGATTGAACCCAGGGACTCACACAGTCTAACTCTACCACTGAGCTACAACCCCAGCTAGCCTCAAACTTATGATGCTCCTGCCTCAGGCTCCTGACCAGGTTGACTTACAGGAATGTGCCACATGCCAGCAGGATATAGGATTTTTATATAAGCCTTAGGATATATTTGTTATTGAATATAGACAAATTATTTCCAAAAGGAAGTCAATAAATAAGGTCAAAGAATTCTCTAAAAACATACTCTTTGAATATGTAAAGCATACACATTTTTCTTAAAACTTAACCTTTCTATAAAGTCAATAATAAAAGAAAAAAAAAAAAACTTAGCCTTTCTTCCAAGGATCTAGTATTGTATCTTTTTCCTCCCTTACAAACAACCAACCTCAAATTTTTATCATATGATCAGAAATAGATATAATTCACCTTTCTACCATTTTACTTACTCATCATAAATTTCTTTTTGTAGATCTTTGGCAAAATCAAACAGCTGTGCAATTGAGAGAAGTGACACATGAAATTCTGCACCTAAAATTTAAAAAGCAGGGGAGGAGAAATTCTTCACAAAGGGCACTCTACCACCGAGCTACACTCCCATTCCCTTTTTTTTTTTCCTCCTTGAGACAGGGTCTCACCAAGTTGCTGGGGCTGGTCCCAAACTTGCACCTGAATACTAGTTCTTTTTTTTTTTTTTTTGGGGGGGGGGGGGGGGGGTGTGGCAGGGTAGATAGAGGTCTGGGGATTGAATCCAGGGACTCACACATGCTAAACACCTCTACTGCAGACTTACACACCCCTCCAACTGAAGGAAGCTTATTTTGGTTGTGGATTTTCTTTTTTTTTTTTTTTTCTTTTTGAGAATGAGAAAAAAAATGGGCTGGGGGAGATCCTATAGTCCCCATAAACAAGCAAAGCCATTATTAATATTATGGGATATTCATAAGCACTTCTAACTTTCATTCTAAACTTGAGGGCATAAGGAAACAAACTAAGTTCTCTACTTCTTTTCAATATCTAAATAAGTTAAGTATTTGAAAAATAGTTCCTGAAGCCAGGCACAGTTGTACATGCCTGTAATCCCAGTGGCTAGGGAGGCTGAGGCAGGAGGATCACGAGTTCAAAGCCAGCCTCAACAAAAGCAAGGCACTAAGCAACTCAGCAAGACCCTGTCTCTAAATAAAATACAAAATAGGGCTGGGGATGAGGCTCAGTGATTTAGTGGCCCTGACTTCAATCCCTGGTACCCCAACAACAACATCAAAAAAAAAACACTTCCTAAAAAATGTCCAATTATAGTCTAGAAGAAATAAGCATTTTCAAAAAGATACAGGACTCTGGGCTGGAGTTGTAGTTCAGTGGTAGAGTGCTTGCCTGGAATGTGTGAGGCCCTAAGTTTACCCCTCAGCACTGCATATAAATAAATAAATAAAAGATCCATCCATTGACAAAAAAGTATTTAAAAAATAAAAGATACAGGACATTATCCCTACAATCAGAGTTTTATACATATTACAGTTGAAATTTTCAAAATTAGCTAACAAAATTAGCTCAATATGAGAATGCTCCACTTTCCTACCACAAATAAATGTTCAAAAGACACCTACCATTTTTTAATATTTATTTTTTAGCTGTAGTTGAACACAATACCTTTATTTATTTATTTTTATGTGGTGCTGAGGACCAAACCTAGGGCCTCACATGCCATAGGCAAGCACTCTACCATTTTGCCACAACCCCAGCACCAAAAGACACCTACCTTTAATCTTGCTTATAGAATTTTTGTAGATGATCCGAGCCAACTCGCCATTAAGGATTTCTTCAGAATGATCAAAACTCCCCTATAAAGTGTTACATTAAGCACAATAAGTAGGGTCAGAAAATGTAAAAAAAAAAAAAAAAAAGCACTAGGATGAAAATTAACAGTCTTGGACTGCCACTACCTTTACAAGTCATGTCTCTGTGTGTCTGTCTGTCCCCGCTCCCCTATTCTCAACCAATTCCCTCTCTTGTAAAATGGGAAACTGAAACAAGATCACACTCATCTTCCAGCTCTGTTCTCTCAGGATCCTGGAGTGGTAGGAAGATCACACAATTTAAGGCCTCAATCTCTATTTTTAACAAGTCAAGTTGTACAAGATCTAATTATCCTTCTGTTTTAAGATTTTATTTGGATAAAAAAAGTTCTGAGTTGGAAACCACAATAACAGACAAAAGCGAAGTTCCTTTTTTAGCTCTAACATTCTAAATCTTCTTTAAGATATTCTATCATGTTAAAAAATCACATAAAAAGTAAAAGAAATAGGCATAGGGGCTGGGGTTGTAGATTACTGGGGGAGTGCTTTTGCCTGGCATGTGTGTCACACTGGGTTCAATTCTCAGCATCACATATAAACAAATAAATAAAATAAAGGTCCATCAATAACTAAAAAACATATTTTTAAAAAAAGAAGTGGATTTCTGTATATCAGTGACAAATCCTCTGAGAAGGAAATGAGGAAACTGCCCCATTCACAATATCCTCAAGAAAAATAAGATACTTGGGAATCAACTTAACAAAAGAGGTGAAGGATCTATACAATGAAAACTATAGTACCCTAAAGAGAAAAATCAAAGAAGACCATAGAATATGGAAAGATCTACCTTGTTCATGGATAGGCAGAATTAATATTATTAAAATGACCATACTACCAAAAGCACTATACAGGTTCAATGTAATTCCGATGAAAATCCCAATGGCATTCCTCATAGAAATAGAAAAAACAATCATAAAATTCATCTGGAAATACCCAGAATAGGTAAAGCAATTCTAAGCAGGAAGAGTGAAACAGGTGATACCGCTATACCAGACCTTAAACTATACTACAGAGAAATAGTAACAAAAATAGCATGGTACTGGCACCAAAACAGGCTGGTAGACCTATGGTACAGAATAGAAGACACAGAGAGTAACCCACAAAATCACAACTATCTTATATTAGACAAAGGTGCCAAAAGCATGCGCTGGAGAAAGGATAGCATCTTCAACAAATGGTGCTGGGAAAACTGGAAATCCATATGCAACAAAATGAAATTGAATCCCTATCTCTCAACATGCATAAAAGTTAACTCAAAATGGATCAAGGATCTAGGAATTAAACCAGAGACTCTGTGTCTAATAGAAGAAAAAGTAGGTCCTGATCTTTATCACGTGGGACTAGGCCCCAACTTCCTTAATAAGACTCCTATAGCGCAAGAATTAAAACCAAGAATCAACAAATGGGATGGATTCAAACTAAAAAGTTTTTTTCTCAGCAAAAAAATAATCTGTGAGGTGAAAAGGGAGCTTACATCCTGGGAGCAAATTTTTACCCCTCACACATCAGATAGAGCACTATCTCTAGGGTATAAAGAACTCAACAAGCTGAGCAACCCAAAACAAATAATCCAATCAATAAATGGGCCAAGGACCTGAACAGACACTTCTAAGAGGTGGTATATACGTGTATTAAGAATTGTAATGCAAAAACAAAGAAGAAGAAGTAGGCATGGTGGCACATGACTGTACTTATTGATTGATATACAATCACAATCAATAAATATATGAAAAAATGCTCATCATCTCTAGCACAGAGAAATGCAAATCAAAACTACTCTAAGATACCATCTCACTCTAGTCAGAATGGCAGCTATTATGAAGACAAACAATAAGTGTTGGCAAGGATGTGGGAAAAAAGGTAAACTCATACATTGCTGGTGGGACTGCAAATTGGTGCAGCCAATTTGGAAAGCAGTATGGAGATTCCTTGGAAATCTGGGAATGGAACCACCTTTTGACCCAACTATCCCTCTTCTCGGACTATACTCAAAGGACCTAAAAACAGCATACTACAGAGACACAGCCACATCAATGTTTATAGCAGCACAATTCACAATAGCTAACTGTGGAGCCAACCTAGATGTCCTTCAGTGGATGAATGGATTAAAAAAATGTGGCATTTATACACAATAGAATATTATACAGCACTAAAAAAAGAACAAAATCATGGCATTTGCAGGTAAATGGATGGTGTTACTGAAGATAATACGAAATGAAGTTAGCCAATCCCCAAAAAACAAATGCCGAATGTTTTCTCTGATATAAGGGGGGTGACTCAAAGTGGGGTAAGGAGGAAGAACATGGGAAGATTATTTCTAGATAGGGAAGAGGGGCGGGAGGGAAAGGGAGGGGGAAAGGGATCAGCAAGGATGGTGGAATGTGATAGTCATCATTATACAAAATACATGTAGAGATTTGAATTTGGTGTCAACACACCTTATATTCAAACAGAGATATGAAAAATTGTGGTATATATGTGTATTAAGAATTGTAATGCAAAAAAAAAAGAAGTAGGCATGGTGGCACATGACTGTATTCCCAGCTACTCAGGAGGTTGAGGCAGGAAGACTGCAAGTTCAAGGCTGGCCTCTGCAACTTGGCTAGACCTTGGATCAATATAAAAATTAAGAAGTGGTAGTACACTCCTGAATTCAATCCCCAGTACCTACCATAAAAAAAAAAAGAAACTAGAAACCTCGCATTCCACAATCTTTCTCAGGCTTCTTAAACCCATTAATATACCACTTACTAAAATCATACAGCATTAAAGAACAGCATTTGACCATAACATCAGTTATAACTTCAATTACTCTAAATATCTATCTTTATTTTATTTTATTTTTACACAACACAATGCCTTTATTTATTTATTTTATGTGGTGCTGAGGATTGAACCCGGGTCCCGCCTGTGCTAGGCGAGCGCTCTACCGCTGAGCCACAATCTCAGCCCCTAAATATCTATCTTTAAAGCAGAAAATCTTATTTCTTTTATTACTAACCCCATTTAATTAAACCAACTTTTTATTCATTTTCAAGTTTTAAAATAACATTAAATTAGAAAGAAAAATATATTACAAGTGTTCTATCTCTTAAGCAGACTCAGTGACAATACAGTAGGATCTCACCATATCCATGTCAGCCTTTTCAAATTCTTGTTTTTCCTTCCTCAGTTTCTCAGCATGCATCAGCTCCATCCTGAAGTACTACAGAAGAGAAATAATGGCCTGAAAATCTTTAAAGATACTTTCTTAAATTCAAGATATATAATACACCTTGTTTTTATGCATAATTTTCAGATGTGGGAAAATTTAGGAGGAGTATTATATTTTTCTTTGTTAACAAACTAGCTAACATTGACAAGGTAAGGTGAAAATATTATTTTATGCTATTCTAAAAGCAATCTAGAGGTATGAATCAAAAACTTTAAAAATGCTTTTATATCCTTGGTTATCACTTCACAATTAAACAAACCATAAAGTCTAGCCCTAAATTGTCAAAAGAAGCAACAAACACACTCAATGTCCTTAACCAGTTGAGAAGAATATAAGTTTGTAATCTAATATTGAAGGTTTCCATGAGTAATTTTACTTATGATTTCATCCATGTATATGAAAAGTGTCAACAGAAGCCAAGTAAGGAATTTGGACTTCTATCCTCTTCAGTCTTCCTCTCCTCTATTTAGCAGTAAATAGGCAGAATAGTATCAAAAGAGTTCTACTATCCGGGAACAGTGGCACATGCCTGTAATCCCAGCTGCTCAGGAGGTTGAGATAGGAGGATCACGAGTTCAAAGCCAGCTTCAGCAAAAAAGTAAGGTGCTAAGCAACTCACTGAGACCCTCCCTGTCTCTAAATAAAATAGAAAAGGTCTGGGGATATAGCCCAATGGTTAAGAGCCCCAGGGTTCAATTTCTAGTACCAAGAAGAAAAAAGTTCTACTAGCCAGAAAATTTAACTCCCAGAGTTTCATAAAATAACCAAAAGGCCTAAAATCAATCATAAAAAGAACCAGGAGGGGCTGGGGTTGTGGCTCAGTGGTAGAGAGCTCACCTCACATGCGTGAAGCACTAGGTTCAATCCTCAGCACCATTTAAAAATAAATAAATAAAATAAAGGTATTGTGTCTGTCTACAATTAAAAAAATATTTTAAAAAAAGCAGGAAGGGGGCTAGGGTTGTAGCTCAGTTGTTAGGGTGTTTGCCTTGCATGTGTGAGGCACTGGTTTCAATCCTCAGAACCACATTTAAATAAATAAATCAAATAAACATATGTGTATGCGTGTGTGTGTGTGTGTGTGTATATATATATATATGTATATATATAAAAAGAACCAGGAATATCACAACTTCAATGAAGACAATCCAAAGACACCAACAACAGAGATGACATAGATGTTAGAATTATCCAACAAGGATTTAAAATCAGTAAAGATGCTTTAATGAGTAATTATAAATACATTTGAAACAATAATAAGTATCAGCAAACAGAAAACATAAAGAAGAACCAAATAGAAATTTGAGAACTGAAACTAATAACTCAGTGAATGGACTCAATAGCAACATGAACAAAACAGAGGAAAGAACCAGTGATCCTGAAAATAACTATAAAAATTACCCAATCTGAACAACAGAGAAAATAGGTTGAAAACAATGAACAGGGCCTCAGAAACCGGTGAGACAATGATAAATGATCCCGTATGTGTCCTTGGAGTTGCAGAGGAAAGAAAAAGGAGTAAAGCTGAAAATTTTTCTTAAAAAATTATGACTTGGTGCTGGGGGTTTAGCTCAGTGGTTGAGCACTTGCCTGGCAGCACAGTATCCCACAACATCAGTTATAACTTTACTGAGTCCTGTGTTCAATCCCCAGCACCAAATAAGAAAAAGAAAAAAGTGCCTCATGATTTTCCAAATTCAGCAAAAAACATAAACCTATAGATTCAAGAAGGTGACAGAACCGTTGGTGAACCCAAGTAAATCATGATAAAACCCACCATAATCAAACCTATGAAAAATAATGACAAAGAAAAAACTTGAAAGCAGTGAGAGATATGACATCCTACCTAAAAGAGAAAAGCAATTCAAACTGGACTTCCACAATCATCTAACAGTAAAAAAGCAGAACAGTGTCAGAAGAGGTCTACTAAACAAAACTTAAATATCCTAGAGTTGCTGGCAGATTTCTCATCAGAAAACAAGGAGGCCAAAAGGAAGAAGTGACACAATATTTTCAAATGCTACAAGAAAAGATGTGTTACCCCAGAAATATCTGGCAAAAATATAATTCAAAAAAGAAGGGAGCTGGGTACAGTGGCACATGCCTGTAATCCTAGCAGCTCAGGAGGCTGAGGCAGGAGGATTGTGAGTTCAGAGCCAGCCTCAGCAATTCAGCAAGGCTCTAAGCAACTCAGCAAGAACCCTGTCTCTAAATAAAATGTAAAAAAGGGCTGGGGATGTGGCTCAGTGCTTGATCATGTCAGAGTATAAATGCTGGTACCAAAAAAAAAAAAAAAAAGAAGAAGAAGAAGGAAAAAGAGCCAGGCATGGTAGAGAACACCCACAATCCCAGCAACCAGGGAGGCTGAGACAGGAGGAATAAAAGTTCAAAGTCAGCCTCAGCAACCTAGCAAGGCCCTAAGCAATTTAGTAAGACCCTGTCTCAAAATAAATTTAAAAGGCTATGCTGGGGTATAGCATAATTCAGTAGTAAAGTGCCTCTAGGTTCAGTGCCCAATACCAAGGGGGAAAAAGGGAAAATTAGGGCACACAATGTACATACTTGGGAGGCAGAAGCAGAAGAATTATAAAACTAGAGGCCAGCCTTGGTAATTTAGCAAGACCCAGTCTCAACATAAAAAATAAAAAGGGCTGGGGATAGGACTCAGTGATAGAATGCCTCTGGGTTCAATCCCCACTACAAACACACACAAAAAGCAAAAGAGATCAAAAGACATTCTCAGATAAAGTGAAACTAAGAATCTATGTTAGAAGACCCATCATAAAAAAACATAAAGCTCTCAAAATAGAAGAAATTATTGCTTAAAAAGGATTCTGGAACATTAGGAAGACAGAAAAATGGAAAGAGTAAAAATATGGGTTATGTAATGGGGACGTGGCTCAATGTTAAAATGCCTGCCTAGCATGTGCAAGGTCACAGGTTCAATCCCCAGCATCACAAATATTTAAGTTGTTTGATACATAAAGCAAAAATTCTAACACTGTCTGATGTGGTTCCTCGGTCTTCTCAAACAGGAGATAGAATACCCTAAGTGAAATTTTAAAAACAAAACAAAAAGTAAAACTGAATTAAACAAATCAACAAAATGAAAAAATGATAAAGGACAAATTTCTTAGTTTTGTGTTGTACTATAGTTTTATAAAATGTAACTACTGGGAGTATTTAGGTGAAGGGTACACAGTACATCATTGTATTACCTTTGTGTCTTCTAGTGAACCTAAAATTATTTCAAAATAAAATTAATGGTAATAGGCTGGGGATATAGCTCAGTTGGTAGAGTGCTTGCCTCGCATGCACAAGACCCTGGGTTCAATCCCCAGCACACACATAAAAAAACAAAATTAATGGTAAACTGATACATGCCTATAATCCCAGCAACTTGGGAGAATAAAGCAGGAGAATGCTAAGTTTGAGGTCCACTTCAATCAGCAAATTCAAAGCCAGTCTAGGCAACTTAACAAGACCCAATCTCAAAATAAAAACCACAAACGGTCAGTGTAAAGCACTGCTGGGTTCAATCTCTAGTACCACCAAAAAAAAAAAAAAAAATCAATGACAAATATGTAATATCAAACTCTATAAAAGTCATGGTATCGTTATAGGTCTATGAAGATAAATTAATGCATGATTAACATCTACTAAAAAAATTTGTGCCAATTTTTGAATACTTGAAATTTTATAAGACATTAAAAAATGAAGGGTTTTTTTTAATTATTATGTTTAACCTTTTAAGTCAGTAATTCTGCTTCTAGGAATAAATCATAAGGAAATGATGGGCACAGGGGCCCACGCCTGTAAACCCAGCAGCTAGGGAGGCTGAGGCAGGAGGATCATGAGTTCAAAGCCAGCCTTCGTAATTTATGGAGGCCCTGGACAACTCAGTGAGACCCTGTCTCTAAATAAAATACAAAAAGGGATAGGGATGTGGCTCAGTGCTTAAGCATCCTTGGGTTCGTTCAATCCCTGGTACAAAAAACAAAAAATTATAAGGAAAAAAATCTTTGTATTTTCACATACAAAGGTTAAGAGCAAATACTGGAACAATCTAAATGCCCAACAATAGGGAAAATGAAAGAGAAAATGTACCATTTTTTTTTAAATAGTATTTGCCCTCAATCAGTCATGTTGAGACATCACTCTCTATGTACACACACACTTACTTTTTTTTTTTTTTTTAATATTTACTTTTTTTAGTTTTAGGTGGACACAATATCTTTCTTTCTTTCTTTCTTTCTTTCTTTATTTTTAATGTGGTGCTGAGAATCGAACCCAGTGCCTCACGCATGCTAGGCAAACGCGCTACCACTTGAGCCACATCCCCAGCCCCACACTTACTTCTTGATAGAGTTTTGGACACTCTGGATGAAAGCGCAGAGCCCGAAGAAACAGTTGCCTGGCACTTTCAGAAGATAAGCGATCTTCCATTTCCCATTTGGCCGCCATAATCCACAAAGCTATAAATGATAAAACACCAGACTTCCATTTCAGTGAATTAATCAAGTTAGGCAAGAAACTACCAGTGCTCCAAACTGAATACTCAAATGAAAAAAAATTTTTTAATCTTACCAAAAAGGAAAAGGCAAAAACAGAGGGAATTTCTAACTGCAAAGTTTTGTTGTTCTAACTAAAGTTAGAAAGAATAGCCAGACAGTATGGCACATGCCAGTAATCCCAGCTACTCAGGAGACTGAGGAAGAATGATTACAATTTAGAAGCCAGCTTGGGCAACCTTGCAAGAGTTTGTCTCGTAATAGAAAATAAAAAGAACTGGAAATATATAGCTCAATGGTAGCGTGCTCTTGAGTTCAATCCCAAGTACTGCAAAACTAAATATTTAAACAAAATTAGAAAAAGTATTCTAAGCAAATAGAGGTAAATGCTAATATATTCATCCTGGATGTGGGATACATAAGGGCCTATGACCATATTTAATCAGCTCTAAAGCTACGATTGTTGTAAGTCACTAATTTTAAAGGTGTTAAAAGTTGGGAAAAAGTTCGTATTTTAGAATCAACAAATTAATATATTTTGTACTCTTCTCTACATTTAGAATAGAACATAATTTTTTTTAAAAAAAGTTGTTGTTTTTCTTCATGGGAAATTAACCCCAAGTTACTACTCCAACTATTTCCCTACAGATTTAATAAAGGTTAACCATCATACCAAGCAAGGCTGCTCCTGATAAAAAATGACCCATGGCTGCTATCCATATGGACTTTGTAGGAAGGCCACAAATGGTGGCGAGCCATTGCTTTGAGATTTCTTGAGCATGTGACTCCTGAAATTGAGCATGGACCGTCCTAGGATCTCATCTTTAGTACTTCCACTTAGGAAGTTCTTCTACCCACTCCTATGGTCTCTTCACCTTACAAATGAACTCTCACTTTGGGGACCAGAGACTGGCCTCCCAACTGATAAGAGCACTTTGCTGAAAAAAAATGCCACAAGTTGTCTTCTGTCTCTGAGCAAGCAGGTGACAAATGTAGCCTTATTGTGCAGTCTGCTTGAGCCTAATACCCTGAGAACTGGTACTGGAGTACCTCCAGTACAGAATAACACACCATCCACTCCTTACTCACAAGAAAAGTCTTTCTCTTATAAAACATGAGTACCTACTCTGTGCCAGTCAACATTCTAAAATCTGTGTTAATATTTTCCCCTTTAAACTGAAATCCCTCACATTTCACTGCCTCCAAATTAAATGTCCCTCAAAGGATTGTACAGATTTTATTTTCCATCAACTAAAAAGAAACATAATCCTTCCTGTCCACAGATAGAACACCTGGTATAGTAACTATCAGTACACAGTAGCCAGAGATAAACTAAGAGACAGCTTCAGGAATAAAAACTGCTGCAGCCAATTGCCTAATAAGCTTAAGTCCTCAAGATAATTTCTCTTAAGTTCATCAGCACAGTAAGTTCCAAAATGACTTTAGTCTAAATAAAATACAGAAAAAGAACACGAGAAGGACTTCACCATACCTGGCTTATTTGAATGAATAGCCAACATGGCAGAGAATACCTTGCTAAGTTGAGCTTTGGTAGCCTGTAAAAAGAGGAAGAAATTTTTCTATTTCCTGCACAGAGATATCATCACTATTAATCTATAAACAGTATCTGCTGAACCCTTACCAACTATAAATTTAATAGGGCAAGATCTTGCTAGGGACATATCAATAAGTAAAGACACATTCATTTTCTTCTTGAACTACTAAACATACACATTCTAAATTTATAATGTTTTAAGGTTTTTGTGAATATGCACAAAAACTATTTTTTTCAACTGATATGGAAGCAAATTAAATAGGCATTCAGATATATAAAAGTTACAATGAAGTACAGTTTCAGCCTTCTGGGGTTCTTTTCCCATTTGTTAATCCTACACCTTTGGGGAAAATATGGAGTTCAGTAAATAAGTAAGAAGTTTAAAAGGTAGACAAATAGAAAGTAAAAGAGGAGCAAGACTTTGCTTTACTCACCCATTTCTTACAAAACACAACATAGGACAGCCAAAGTTGAACATCATCCTACAAGAAAAGCAATGCAGTAAGCTGCCTTGATCTTTATATATGATACATTTTTGCGATAATTAACTTTATTGGAAACAGGAGAATTTCAGAAGATCCAATGTATTAAGCACATTCTTCAGTCCTTGAAACTCTTCCCTCACTGAGGTCTTGGATTTCTTAACCATAATTGAGTGAGATTCTCCCCTTCCATCCATCATGCTCCAAAACAAAACAAGTTGTCCATCCAATTTGTTCAATGCAGTTCTGAAATGGCCTCAAGTATAGAAATACAAAGTTTATCATTCCCAGGAATCCAAAGTACTTCCAATGAAACATGCCCATTCCCAGGCCGAACTTGAAGAATATCAAGTTACTGAGCTCCAGCCAGCACCTAATCATTTATCTTCCACCTCCACGACTTCAATGCTCTTCACTTAAGAAATACATCCAAACATCTCCCAGGTAATTTTATCATTTTTAATGTATCAAATAACACTGTTTTTAGCACCTTCCTCAAAGAAAAACAAGAAGGTATAAAGACCCGCACAGTTGCACACACCAATAACCCCAGCAACTCAGGAGGTAGAGATGGGACCACAAGTTTGAGGCTACTCTCAGCAACTTAGTAAAACCCCGTCTCAAAATAAACAATAAAATGGGTTAAGGATGTAGCTTAAAGTGACCCTGGGTTCAATCCCCAGTATCAAAAGAAGGTTTAAGAGATCAATTTCTTTCCCTATTTTTTGGTACCAGGAATTGAACCCAGAGGTGCTTAACCACTGAGTCACGTCCCCAGATCTTTTTTATGTTTTATTTTGAGACAGGGTCTCGCTGAGTTGCTTAGGGCCTCACTACATTGCTGAGGCTGGCCTTTGAACTCGTGATCCTCCTGTCTCACACTCCGAGTCACTGGGATTATAGGCATGTGCCAGTGCACCCAGCTGAGAATGCTTCCATCAGTAATACCATCATTAGAGGGTTGGGGATATAGCTCAGTTGAATAGTGCTTGCCCCACAAGCACGAGGCCCTGGGTTCAATCCTCAGCACCACAAAATAATAATAATAATAATAATAATAATAATACCACCACCACCATCATTAGAATAAATATTAAGACACTCAAGTTAAGTTGGACACAGTTGCACACACCTGTAATCCCAGTGGCTCAGAAGGCTGAGACAGGAGGATGGCGAGTTCAAAGTCAGCCTTAGCAAAAAGCAAGGTGCTAAGCAACTCAGCGAGACCTTGTCTCTAAATCAAATACAAAACAGGGCTGGGGATGTGGCTCAGTGGCCAAGTGCCCCTTGGTTCAATCCCTGGTACCTCCCCCGCAAAAAAGGACACCCAAGTAAAGACTGGAGAACAATGCATTGGAATATTCAACTCAGTTAGGTATAATACACATCTTCAAAGCTCTTAGAGTCACAGATGCATTTATCACATACTTTCCACTTTGCTGAAGCACGTCGGAAGACACCTTGTATCCGGTGAACAATAGAATGCTCAATCTCATCCTTCTTAAATGAATATTTAATGCGCTGAAAGGGGACATAAAAAACAAAGCTTCAGTTTACTCACATTTACAAAGTAGCATTACTACTTGAGCATTTAACAGTATTAGTGAAGAAAGCAAATAATTACAAATATCCAGTTTAGTCCAGGCACATTAAACAATTTTATCAACATTACCTGTCGCCCAAACATAAGCTCTAGCTAAGCAGCCACACTACTTAATTCTGTATTTTTTCCAATTTCAAAAAAATTATCAACTTACTGTTCTTCTTCTCTGGATCAATTCCAAAAGATTAATTTCATACTGGGAAAGAAAACATACACAAAAAAAGGAGAAAAAAATTATAACCTTTTAAATATAGGAAATACATTAAAATTATGAAAGATAAAATATCAAATACGAAAATGTAAAATAGAAAAATTTTGCTATCAATGAAAACAATTTGTAATAAAATGTCTATAATTCACTGAAAATTCATTTAACTTTATTAAAATGAATTCTTCATAGGTGTGGTGGTATGCACCTGTAATCCCAATTACTTGGGAGGCTGAGACAGGGAGGATCACAAGTTCAAGACCAACTTAGTGAGATACTGTCTCAAAATTTAAAAAATTAAAAAAGCTGGAGAATGTAGCCCATTTAGCACCTCCGGGCAAATTCCCAATACTTCCAAAAAAAAAAAAAAACCACTTGTAAGTCTGAGCTGACACATAAGTAAAGCAGATAAAGAGGTTGTACTAGCTGAAACAGGTGTGACAAGCCTAATGGGCTTCTCCAACCACCACCTCTAAAATACCACTTACAAATCCCAAAGATCTCAGAAAAGCACTACTATATAATCACTCTCTAAGCCACAACTGGAAAAATACTAGAGACAGAAATCTCACAAGATTGCAAGTTCATTTAAAAACTGTTTTACCTGGAGCTAGGGATATAGCTCAGTGGTAGAACACTTGCCTAGCCTGAGTGAGACACTATATTCAAATTCCAAAAGAAGGGGGAAAAAAAAACTTTGAGAAAAATATTTCAAGCACAAAAAATCCCATGCAACTATCACAAAGTAACACCAAAGCCTATATTTGCTTCAAGTACTCTTCAAAAATAAAAGTTTCAACTGGGAATAGTGGTGCATGCCTATAATCCCAACAGCTCAGGAGGCTGAGGAAGGAGGATCACAAGTTTAAAGCCAGTCTCAGCAATTTAGCAAGGCCATAAGCAACTTAGTAAGACCCTATCTCAAAATAAAAAATAAAAAGGGCTGGGGATGTGGCTCAGGGGTAAAGGGTCCCTGGGTTCAATCCCCAGTACCAAAAAAGAAATAGAACATTTCAAATAAACATAAAGCCCCCTATGTACTAATCTTTTATTCCATTCTCACTCTCCAGAACTAGCAACTATCCTGAGTTTATCACTTCCAAGAATGATCCTGAACTTCATTATAATGCTTTTTTTTTTGGATACTAGGAACTGAACTTGGAGGCATTTTACCAATGATGTATTTCCCAGCCATTTTTATTTTAATACAGAGTCTTGCTAAGTTGTTCAAGCTGGTTTCAAACTTGTCATTCTCTTGCCTCAGCCTCCCAAATCACTGAGATTACAGGTGTGTGCCATGGCACCCAGCTATAATGCTTTAATTGTCTATAAGTGATATTACGCTACATTCATCACTCCATATTTTTTTTCAACATGACTTATGCGTGTGTGTGCTCATGAACATGTGGTGAAGATAGAATCCAGGGCCTTGTACGTGTTAGCCAAGCTGTCTACCACTGAGACCAGACCTCAAAATGACTTCAGATATATCCTTGTAAAAACCCAAAATTCAAGGTCATGTTATATAATATTCCATGTTCAATGTGGAATTTGCCTTTTTTCTTGCTGTTCCATAATCTGTTTCTAATTTTTTTTTTTTTTTTTTTTTTTTTTGTGGTGCTGGGGATTGAACCCAGGGCCTTGTGCATGAAAGGTAAGCACTCTACCAACTGAGCTATGTCCCCAGCCCTCTAATTTTTCTCTATTACAAAAAGCTGCTATTTATATTCTTGTACATATCTTCTTATGAATACAGGAACTTTTCTCCAGAGTATACACTATCTACCAACACTAACATGCAATCATGAGGCAATGACTTTTCTCCATTTAAAGTGATTCCCTGTACACCACTGGACTGGATCAGTGCCATGTACATAGCAGGCCCTCAATATTTACTCTATAAATGAATAAATGAAATTGCTGGATCACAGGTATATGCATTTCAATTTTATGGATCATTAAAACCTGCACTCAAAAGGGATTGTACCAATTATTTTTAAAATGTTTACTATTGTGATGAACATAAGGCAGACTATGCATGGTCTTAATTTATTTACCTGATTACTAATGAGGCTTGCATTGTTTCCTAAGTTGAATTATGAAATGATGTTCTCCCTTTGGGAACTGCATGTTAACAAGATCTGCCCACTTTTCTTTGTGGTCCTTTGTTACTTTCTCTTTTTTTCTCTTTAGTTGTAGTTGGACACAATACCTTTATTCTATTTATTTATTTTTATGTGGTGCTGAGGATCAAAACCAGCACCTCACACATGCTAGGCGAGTGCTCTACCACTGAACCACAGCCCCAGCCCATGTTACTTTCTTCTTGATTTGTAGTTATTCACATGTACATATGTCATTCTTACTATATGTCTTATGAATATTTTCTCCCACTTTGTGGCTTACCTTTTCACATTAATTGTGGTATATTTTTTGCATAGACTATTATTATTGTTTTTAACATCTCCTCTGAAAATGAGTTGTGCTTTCACAGTCTCCTCTATTTTATCTTTCCCTACCTGAACTCATTCTTTCATAGATTTTGTAAAATACTTAAAAGTTTTCTCCCACATTAAAACTTTCAATTCGGGCTGAGGATGTGGCTCAAGTGGTAGCGCGCTCACCTACCACTGGCATGTGCACGGATCTGGGTTCAATCCTCAGCACCACATACAAATAAAGATGTGTCCGCCAAAAACTAAAAAAAAAATAAATAAATATTTAAAAAATTCTCTCTCTTTAAAAAAAAAACTTTCAATTCATCAGGAATTTATTTTCAGGTATGTGAAGACAAGATCTAATTGAAACTTAAACTTCATTGATTTAAAAATGCCATTTGTACCAGCCACAATGGCACATACCTGTAATCCCAGTGACTTGGGAGGCTAAAGCAGGAGGATTGCAAGTTCAAGGACAAACTCAGCAATTTAGGGAGGCCCTAAGCAACATAGCAAGACCCTGTCTCAAAAAATAAAAGGGGTAAGGGATGCATTTGTGGTTCAGTGGTAGAGTGTTTACCTAGCATGGGTGAGGCACTGGGTTCAATCCTCATAAAAATAAATAAATAAAATAAATATAAAAATAAATAAAGGTATTGTATCCATCTACAATTAGAAATTTTTTAAAAAGGGGGGGAATGTAGCTCAGTGGTAAAGCATTGCTGGGTTCAATCCCCAATACCAAAAAATAAAACAAATAAATGTCACTTACAAATTTATACAACTGTGTGCAGGCAAGAAAAAATATATATAAAAGAATGTGCAGGTAGGTACATATGTATGTGTGTATACTTTTTAATGTGCTTATTTCAGTTATACTCTCTGAAACTAATCCAACTAATCCACAGGTAGCTCAAGTATTTAAAGAGTGAGATCATTTGTCACATATCTCCTCAAGCATCTCTAGTGCTTTCAATGACTGCTCCAATAACAAGGTTTCCAAATTTGTTGCCTTTGAACCAACCTCTTTAAGAGTCCTTCTTAAAATGTAGTCTTGAGGCTGGGGATATGGCTCAAGTAGTAGCGCACTTGCCTGGCATGCGTGAGGCACTGGGTTCAATCCTCAGCACCACATAAAAATAAAATTAAAGATATTGTGTCCACCTAAAGCTAAAAAACAAATATTTTAAAAATAAAAAATAATTTAAAAAACGTAGTCTTGAGTCTAATACAATACTACAGATATGGATTGATTAGCACAACACATTATCTTTCAAGTCAACATGTTTTCAGTGCCTACCTGCCAATGTCCTTTGCAATTTTACCCAGCACACTATTTTTGTCAATCTTGTTCAGTTATAGTGTTGATACAATATGCTCTTGACTTTTTTGGGGGACACTACTAGTGATCAAACCTAGGGCCTTGTGTGCATGCTACACAAATACACTTACTACTGGGCAACATTCCCAGCCCCCATGGCTTATTCTGAATTAGCAATGTACTACAAACCCTAGGACCACTCCAAAACAAAACAACATTCTCAGCTAAGTCTCATGTAGTATTTGTTCAACTATTTGTTTTTTTGTAATCAATCTCAATTTTTTTTAATATTTATTTTTTAGTTTTAGGTGGACACAATATCTTTATTTTATTTTTATGTGGTGCAGAGAATTGAACCCAGTGCTTCATGCATGCTAGGCTAGCGCTCTTCCTCTGAGCCACAACCCCAGCCCTTCAATCTCAAATTTTTAAGTCCTATAACATTTCATCGTTCTTGTGTGTGGTTCTGGGGATTGAACCCAGGAGTGCTCTACCACTGAGCTACATCCCCAGTTCTTTGTCATTTATTTTTTTTATTTATTTTGAGGCAGGGTCTCACTGAATTTCCCAGGCTGGCCTTGAACTTGTGATCCTCCTGCCTCAGCCTCCTGAGTTTCTGGGATCCCAGGTGTTCACCATTACACCAAAATAAACATTTTGTCTTATTTATTCTTTCTGAATCCTGATTCTGTCATCTGACATAACAGCTATTCTCCCCCATCTAAAAAGTGATTTGGCCTATATGTCTTATCTTCAAACTTTCTACCTATTTAGAAAATGGAAGTAATCACTGGGCACAGTAGCACATGCCTGTATTCCCAATACCTCAGGAGGCTAAGGCAGGAGGATCACAAGTTCAAAGCCAGCCTCAGCATCTCAGCAAGACCCTGTCTCAAAATAAAAAATAAAAAAGGGCTGGAATATAGCTCTAGGTGGTTAAGTGTCCCTGAGTTCAATTCGTGGTACCAAGAAAGAAAGAAAGGGAGGAAGGGAAGGAAGAAGTTCCTGTCTCAAAATAAAAAATAAAAAGGGCTGGCAATGTGCCATCAGTGGTAGAATGCCCCTAGGTTCAATCCCAAGTACCAAAAAAAAAAAAAGAATCTTGCCGCATACTTCTTTACAAATTGACAGACTTTCTGGCTATCCACTATCATCACATTCACATCCCTGTCTTGCCTGCTAAGAGATAGATCTCTTGCTGAAATCCAGATACACATTGTCTCGATCTACTAACTCAATAGAAAGAAAGAGAGAGGAAAAAAAATTCAGTTTCACTAGGACTAAAGCCTCAGTAGATGATACAACTCCCAATAATCACCTCTAATCCTGTTCAAAAATATGGATCTAATTGCAATTCTGGAATTCGGCAAAAAACTAATGTTAATCTCACCATTCTCTAATTGACTTAAAATTTGTAAGGAGATTTAAAAATAAGGAAATTATTCACTTACTTGAATATAATTGATAAAGTCTTCCTTAAAAAGGGCTCTTCGCTGTATTTTGTATTCTAGATCAGAAGCCTTCTTAATGATAGCCCTGAAGAGAAAATTATTTAAACTGCAACACTTGAAAAAAATAAAACTTAAGTAACTTTAGCTTTAAAAGAATTTTTTTAATTACCTTGGATATATTTAAGACACATAATAACCAAAACATAATTCCCATATATAATTTTCTTTCACAGGCAAATAATATCTTACACAATTACTTCTGTATTTCTAAGATTAGGATATATTTTAAAATTTTCAGGATAGCCAATCATAATTGATTGCCAGGGTATTTGATATTCCTACAAGCAAAATTAATGTTAAGTGTTTTATGCTATTTACATATAGTATTAATAAAGACTTATTTTCCTCTAAATCAAGGTTATTAGGTGTATATTTCTTGTAGACCAGAATTAAACCCAGGGGCTTACACATGCTAGGCAAGGATTCTGCCAAGAAGCTATATCCTAGCCCTCCACACTTAGGTTTTTATAATAATCAAATGTCTATACTAAAATTCTTTTATTCCTATATGTTCAATGTGTAAAATTTTTTTAGAAACCTGTATTGTCTCTATCTAAAAAGGCTTATTACTATTACGGATCTATGGGAGAAGAATCACCATTCCTTAGTTAAGGACTAAATGTACAACATGTGTATATTAGGAAAATTTAATGCAAGGTGTGCAGAATATTTACGTTTAGTAATAATAACATTTAATGAACACTAAGAGTCCCCAATGCTATATTCTGTTTCATTAACAAATACTTTTAGACTCCCAGTCACATGACTGCATCCAGAGTCATTGTCTACCAAAGAAATAGTCACGGAAAACCACTAAAACTACTAAAAGTGATTGACAGATTATTGAATGCCAACCTGTGTGTCAGGCGCTGTGGCTAGGATTGGGAGTACATAGGAAACGAAATCAAATGATCCCCCTCTGCCAAGTCTTCCACTCACTCTCGGGCTCTTGCAGCATTCTGCTGACATCTCTACAGAAGTACATTCTACACACCGATTTAAACTGTAACCGAAATGTTTAATTTGCCTGAAATTCTCCCACCATCCAAAGTGCCTTGTTAGCTCCTGGTGGATAGGGATTCCGGTTTATCACCTTTATATCCCCAAAACCCTGCTCCATGAGGGGCTGTCAGTATATCCGATGGGTAAATGGACACCTTGTAAAGGATAAGAATTTCATTCTGGTCATCCCCAAAGCCCGGCACTGGGTTTATACCACGTTAGGAAAAACAAACACAACCAAAGCATCTCCAGCCCGGCCGGGGCCACACGCACGCCCAACCTCCCCTCAGCCCGCTCCAGCCCTTCCCTTTCCCACCCCGCTCACTTAATCTCCGCACGACTGAATAGTCCAACGCGCTCCAGCTGTTCCAATTCCGGGATTCGATCTTCTATGCGTTCCTGGATTATCTCCGCCATGAGGTCTGCACCGGACGTCCCCGCAGGAGAAGCTCAGCAGGCAACAGGCGCAGGAAGCGCCCACCTTCTAGTCTCCAGTCCCAACCTTAAAGCCCGCACGTACTGACGAAACGTGCTCCCTACGTCCCGCCTCTTCCGCTTCCGCCGTCGGAAAAGATCCTTCGGCTCTTGCGGCCGCTGTCACCCCCTTGTGGCTTACGGTGGAATTGCAGCGAGAGACCCCGCGGTCTTGGGCAGGACTCAAGCGGAGGGGCGGGGCGAGGCTGGAGGTGGGACCCAATGCGCGCGCAGCCAGACTCCGGCAGGGATTGAAAAAAGCGCCTCCGGGTCTGAGTGATTTACCTGGCGACAGCCCCGCGGGTGTAGGATATTGTCTGGTTTTAACGTGCTCCGGTCCCATGGCCCTACTTCCCAACACCGAGGTCCTGAAAAATAATTTTTAAAAAAGCTCATAGAGGAAGATATTATGTAAAGGACGTAAACATTTCAAAAAAATCAGTCATGGAAATCGTAGGGGCTGCTAAGGCTGACCCCGCCACCCAAAAGACTTAGTCCTAGCTTTCTGCTAGATTGTAAAATAGTGTGATAACAGTTATTACACTGGGTTCTCCCGTGCCAATTAGAATCCGACTGGGTGATTAAAAAGGAAAGAAATGTGTTATTTAAATATCTTAGCTCTGTAGACACGATCTTTTAAAACACGTGACCCTGCGTAGATCAGACACTATAATTTGTTTTAGGAAAGAAGGTTTTGGTATTGAGACACAGACCCGCCTCACACCACCGCCCAAGCAACTTAGCATTTCTAAGAAAACTATCAGGCAACCCAGCTTGGAAGCCATATTGTTGGTGTAATTACTAAACCTAAAAATAATAATAATAATAACTGCATGGCTTAATTCTTTTTAAGTTCTGGAAGATGATTAAAAAAAAGCAGGAATTCTTGCTAAACCTGTTTATTTCAACATTCGCATTAGTACCTTGATCTTCTGTGAATTATGAAAGGGGAATAGATTTAGCAATTAACCAGGTTCCTTCCTTTTTTTCATTTCACATTTTACCCCCTGGTCTCAGAAATGAGACAAAGGTTGGCTTGGGCTTCATGGTTTCTTAATTCAGTTGTAATATTTGAGGGAAATTAAAGGAATTATGGGTGAAAAACAAAGATGCAGCCAGCCATAGGTGGTTCACACCTGTAATCCCAGCAACTGGGGAGGCCCTGAGAGGGGAGGATTGCAAGTTCAAGCCTGCCCTTAGGGCTGGAGTTGTAGCACAATGGTAGAAAGCTTGCCTAGCATGTGTGAGGCATTGGGTTCCATTCTCAGCGCTGCATATAAATAAAATAAAGGTCTATTGACAACTTTATTTAAAAAAAAAAAAAAAAAGACTGGCCTGGACAATTTAGGGAGGCTTTGTCAAAAAATAAAAAGGGATGGGGAGGTAGCTCACCAGTAAAGTATCCCTGGGTGCAGTCCCCATTACAAAGAAAAAAAAATTAAAAAGACCAAGAGGCAATGTTTTTGAAATAGTAAAATCTCTGGGTTCCCTGTTAACAGTAGGAGTTGGGATAAACTACATAGTAAGTTAAATGATTTTCCCCCTATTTTCCTCACTGGAAATGATAGAGCAATGTCTAGCATATACTAATTACTAAATAAAAAATGTATGAGAATAAGAAAAGGCACTTACAAAGTTTCTTTAAGTGCAAGGAAGATTGCAATCTCTATCAAATTGTAATCTTTCATTTCAAGGCAAATTTGATATCGACCTTAAGAAGTTAACTATGTTTTGTTTTGTTTAAGGTATTGGGCAACTTAGCACTGAACTACATACATCCCCAGTCCTTATTTTTTATTTTGAGACAGGCTGGCTTAACTCTTGGAGACTGGCCTTCAACTTGCAATTCTCCTGCCTCAGCCTCTTGAGTAGCTGGAATTACAGGTGTGGGCCACTGCACTTGGCTAACTATGATTTTTAAGCCAACCTAACTATAAATACTCACCTCCCTTATTTGAAATTTAGCTTTTATGTTTATATTGCTCTAAGAATTATAATGGAAATAGCAAACTTCCTTTTCACTTCTTCATCTCATAATAATAGTCACCACTTCTCAAGGGCTTACTATATGCCTAGCTACTATGTGCTCTAAGTTCTTTATTTATTAACCCTCCTAATCACATTACACAGATATTTTAAAATATCAACACAAGGAGCTCATGAAGAAGTAAAACGTACCTACTAAGGGCTGCTGGTCTAGGTCAGTGGTAGAGAGTTCTTAGTGTGCTCTAGGACCTGGGTTCCATCCTCAGCACTCAAAAAAAAAAAAAAAAACAACCTGCTAGAGAAAGCCCAAGACAGCAGATGAAACCATTTGCACAATGGATGTCCCTCAGAAAATTTGTTTGTTTGTTTTAGTCTTATATTTTATCTTTAAAATTCAGCAAAGATGTCAGATTAGTAAGGTGGTACTGACCAGGAGGGAGCACTGGGAAGCTTTCTGCATCTGGGAATGGTCTGTACTTGATCTAGGTGACCATCACATGGATGTATACATGTGTAAAAATCTACCCACTGAGGTATACACTTAGGATTTGTACACTTTATGAAAGTCATACCTTAAATAAGAAGTAAAAGTTAATTACCAGACTCTAAATATATCATTCTCTTCAAGAGCTCCAATTTATTATTCTTATGTGTGTGGCAAAGTCAGAAATATTGCAATAAATGAGCAGTACTTCCCCTCTCTAAAAGAGTTCACGTGAATTTGGTACTCTAACCCACAATATATTAGTATTTGTTTTAAAATAAATTCGTATGATTTTTCCCCCAGATTGTCAGGTAAGATTAATCCCAATATGTTGGATCCTGATCATCCTAAGGCTTAGAGGAACACTTGGCCCCCATTCTGATGTGATGAGCCAGTGGGAAAACTGCAGAGGGCTCTCAGTTAGGGACCTGAGAAAATCTCTCTTTTTTAAAAAAATTTTTTCTTTGGTACCAAGAATTGAATCAGGGGCACTCACTGAGCCACCTCCCCAGCCCTATTTTGTATTTTACCTAGAGACCCAGTCTCACTGAGGCTGGCTTTGATCCTCCTGTCTCAGCCTCCAGAGCCACTGGGATTACAGGCGCATGCCACCAAGCCTGGGCTCTGAGAAAATCTCTTAAGGAGTCTGCCAGAGGAACACTAACCAGATGTTTGCAAACCAAGTTAAAACTTCATTCTTGCCTTCAAAGTACTTAAACATAAACTTCAAAGTAAACTTGAACTTTTCCTTGGAATATTCACATTGTCACATCTGAAGATTAAATTCACAGACAGCTCAGTGGTTAAAAAATGCTTCTCTTTTTTTTCCCCACTATTATTGTTATTTGATAAAGGGAAATACCTAATTTCAGCAATAATGAGTGGTAAAGCACCTGGAATCCCATCCCCCTGCCTTGTTCGAAGTCCCCTGCCTGCTTCTCCCACACAGAGAGCCCTGGTATACTTCAAAGTCAGAGCAGAAGTGATAGACACAGACTGGTCTTTGATGCCTAAGAACATCAGAGCCCTCAGTTTGATGGGAATGCAAAGCATCTGTACTTTTCAAACCTTTCATGTTATCTCCCATTGCCAACAACAAAAGCTGAAAAGTTTGAGGTGACACACATTACACACATTAAAATATTTGGAACCAGTAACTTTTCATTTCTTTTTCTATTATTTATAGCTTCTTTTACTTCGCAAACCATACTGGATAGTAAATTACTTCTGGCATGCAGCCTTGTCAGCTTGCCAAATTTCAACTGGAACAAGTTTTTACAGCAGGGCTAATAAGCTCTGAAAATTAAGAGGTAAGTATAATGGAAATAATGACATCGTCTTTAACTGCAGGAACATAAGAATGACAACGTGAGATTCTAACAGATTCTATTTTTTTTTAAAGATTTTTTTTTATTCTCATGAAATCTTCACGTTTTAAGAGATTTTAGTTCAAAACACATGTAAATGGAGAGGTTTTCTTTTAAATGGTGAAAAGCAGTTACGTGATTTTTTTCCCCCTATGGTTTAAGTTACTGCTTTTTGCAAACGAAAAAGAAGAAAGAGAGCAAAAAGAAAGAAAGCCAAGAATATGGTAGTTTGGGTATAACAACCTACTATTAAAACAAACTGACATCTTGAAAAAACATGTTCTGAAATGATTGGCTTCCAGGATGGGGCCTGGTGATTGTCTGTGTGTGAATACATTTCATCAAAGCCATAGCTGATTAGCTACATCAATTTTTTTTTCAGTTTGCCCAAATCCAGATAGAAATACAGCTCCAGCTTAAGTAACTTTCAGATCTTTTTGGAACAAAACTTCCAAAAATAGAAAATGAACACCACATTTGATTTTGATCATTGAAAGAAACTTGGGAGGTACTATCTATTTCTCTAATCTTAATTCTTACATCTGTTCCCATTCACAATTTGCAAGTGACAAGGAAAATTCTTTTTCTCCAGTCTCATTCTGCCTTCCAATTAGACGTGGACTGATTAGCTTTTGCACCACATGCTCAGTCCCAAACTGCTGAAGCAAAGAAGAGGTTTAGAGGGTGTGCATGTAAAAGTGTGTGTGTGTGTGTGTGTGTGTGTGTAACTATACTAAAGTAATATGGCCTTGCTCCAAAAAGCCAGCTTTCTTGTAGTTTCTCAACCACACCATGCAATTATTTTATACATCTCTCTTTTTTAAAATATTTTTTAGTTGTCGGTGGACCTTTATTTTATTTACTCATTATTTATTTATTTCTATGTGGTGCTGAGAATCGAACCCAATGCCTCACACATGCTAGGCAAGTGCTCTACTACTGAGCTAGAGCCACAGCCCCTATTTTTTTTTATTTTTAAAATTTTTAGTTGTAGGTGGACAATACCTTTACTTTATTTACTTATTTTTATGTGGTGCTGAGGATCAAACCCAATGCTTCAAGCGCTCTACCACTGAGCCACAGCCCTCACCCCTATTTTTTACCCTCTTAACATAAACTGTTACCTGTCTCTAGAATGTCTTTTATCCAACTATCCACTTGGTAAGTTTAATTCATTAAAAAAAAATTTTAGCTTAAAAGGAAGCCCACCTT